CAAAAACAATGTTATGAAGTAACATGTTAATATTTGCTGACTCTGGTAAAGGAAACATCATCGACGGCATAAATAAAGTTCCGGACTACATGCCGAATATACGCCCCAACGTTGCAGAAATCATGAGTTAAAACGTATAAATAAAACTGCCATTCAAATTTATTGTCACATCGACTTTAAACGAATTCATTGCAAAAAACGTTTTTATAACATTGTGTATTTTACAACAGGATTTTGCTAGCTAGTTTTACTAATAAGACAGTGGCACTCAGGTATTAGTATACGCTTTGTGACGCAAAGAGGTTGGAATTGCTTTCACATACCAGTATAACTAAACTGAAAACTCGTTTCGCGGGCACACATTCAAAATTGTCACTGCTACGCGGGCCGAACAATTTTTCTTTGCGGGCCGCAGTTTGCACACCCCTGTTTTAGATAACTGCACAGTCTGGTATTGATTTTTAAAAAATATTTGTAAAATTGAATCGACAAAACTAAAGCTATGATTTTATTTGGACAGTAGGATAATAAATTTCTAGATGAAAGTGGGAGCTAAATTGTTGCGGAATGTGTCAAAAGTTAATATTTCTACGTAGATTCTTGGTCTAGGCATCAAATTCCACCAATTTGTATTGCCGATACCGACGGCTATACACGCCATCGCTGAGAGCGAGTAAGAAGTAGCGACAACAAGAGGTACAATATTCAGTCAAATATGCTGTATGCTACACAATATGTTGCTGTTGTTTGAAACGTAAGTGGACATAACGATGGTTTTACATTTTATGCTGGCACTCTTCTTCTTCTTATTTGAACACTTCTTGGTATCGTTATGAAAAAACCGCTTTTCTCATTAATTACTGGACTATTTGCTTCAAAATTTTTAGTAGTTGAACATGAAAATTTTCCCTAGAAAGCTATCACTTTTATTTATTTTAAATATTTCGGTGAGCTGCATGGAATTCCTTTTTTTAGTGTTATGACGTCATCCGCACTTGCCACTAGATGACGCTACGTGTTCATATGTTTGAGCATAGCTCTCTTTTTAATATTTATATGCTGGAATAATTTTCATGTTTTTGATGCCCGATCAAGTGTGATACCGAGGCAATGACAATTATCCACCGCATTTCAAGGCAATCGCTCGAACTTCACCTAATTAATAACTAAATCAATATGCCTCCAGATCGTTTGCGGCCTGAAAGAACAATAAGAACAATGTTTCCTGTTTGCTAACGTGAATTATTGTGATGCATGCCATATTTTGTGGAAAAAATATGGTTGAAATAAACTCAAAACGGTTATTGTTGAAAATTATGTCGAATGCAGATGAGTAGAAAATCTTCACTGAAGTATAGTTGTTCTGAAATGTTATTTGTATTACCCATCTAAACACACACACGCATATGACAGTTTACTCCTAGTAACGTTGAGAACTTTATATAATTTATTAATTATTAATTTCTTTGACTATGAAGAAAGAGTATGGCAAAAATTTAGGGTGAGTGGCATTATCTAAAAAATTGTATCAAAGAAAACAAGTTCAGAGTAGGACGAGAGGAAATATTGAAATCGCCAACATTTTTTGTCAATAATGCAGCCATTTATTGATATCAGCTTATAGATAGAAGTTAGTTTTGTAATTACCTCTGATATTGCTTTTCAAATCCTTCGGTCTGGTTTATAATAGCTGTAGATACCCCAAAAAACCTGCTAATTTTACTTCTTTAAATAGTAATCATAAGGTAATTAAAAACAATAGTAAATATGCTTTAAATACACAAGTCGTTAGGTATAATGTAAAATGTACAAAACAGTAGCGTTATCATGTAATTATAATTACTTATCCGGAGAAAAAGAATATTTAACATTTGGGAGCAGATTTTGAATTTTCATGTTTCCAACTAAATCACAAGCGAGTTATAACCTATAGGCGTGATAATTTCCGCAATGTTGGCTGAACTGAAATACTAAATTTATCGAGATACTACTTGAGCACTTTGATCGAGAACCCTTTTTTCAAATCTTAACATTTTCTATATGATCTGATATGAACACGTAAACATGTTTTAAAACTTTGTACAAATATAGTTGCACAGAAAAGTCTGGAGTTGAATTAGAATGAATTATAATGGAAAAATGTGATGTCAAAAAGCATGACACAACTTTTCAGATTTTTAGTTTTTGATGAAAGTCAAATATTGTGAGCTGAAGTGAAATGAAGAAACCAAAGTTAATTTCCATTATGACACTTGTTTTAATAATATCAGATTTTTATTCATGCAAGCATTAAAAATTAAATTAAAATTTGCAACATCAATATATAATTTTAGATTGTGTATTTTACAACAGGATTTTGCTAGCTAGTTTTACTGATAAGACAGTGGCACTCAAGTATTTGTATACACTTTGTGACAAAAAGAGATCGGAATTGCTTTCACGTACCAGTATAACTAAACTGAAAACTCGTTTCCCGGGCACACATTCAAAATTGTCACTGCTACGCGGGCCGCAAAATTTTTCTTTGCGGGCCGCAGTTTGCACACCCTTGTTTTAGATAACGCACAGTCTGGTATTGATTTTCAAAAAATATTTGTAAAATTGAATCGACAAAACCAAAGCTTTGATTTTATTTGGACAGTAGGATAATAAATTTCTAGATGAAAGTGCGAGTTAAATTGTTACGAAATGTGTCAGAAGTTAATATTTCTACTGAGATTCTTGGTTTAGGCATCAAATTCCACCAATTTGTATTGGCGATACCGACGGCTATACACGCCATCGCTGAGAGCGAGTAAGAAGTAGCGACAACAAAAGGTACAATATTCAGTCAAATATGCTGTATGCTACACAATATGTTGCTGTTATTTGACACGTAAGTGGACATAACGATGGTTTTACATTTTATGCTTGCACTCTTCTTCTTCTTATTTGAATACTTCTTGGTATCGTTATGAATAAACCGCTTTTCTCTTTGATTACTGGACTATTTGCTTCAAAATTTTTAGTAGTTGAAGATGAAAATTTTCCCTAGAAAGCTATCACTTTTATTTATTTTAAATATTTCGATGAGCTGCATGGAATTCCTTTTTTAAGTGTTATGACGTCATCCGCACTTGCCACTAGATGACGCTACGTGTTCATATGTTTGAGCATAGCTCTCTTTTTAATATTTTTATGCTGGAATAATTTTCATGTTTTGATGCCCGATCAAGTGTGATACCAAGGCAATGACAAGTATCCACCGATTTTCAAAGCAATCGCTCGAACGTCACCTAATGACTGAATGAATATGCCTCCAGACTGTTGCGGTCTGAAAGAACAACAATAAAAACAATGTTTCCTGTTTGCTAACGTGAATTATTGTGATGCATGCCATATTTTGTTGAAAAAATATGGTTCAAATATACTCAAAACGGTTATTATTAAAAATTATTTCGAATGCAGATGAGTAGAAAATCTTCACTAAAGTATAGTTGTTCTGAAATGTTATTTGTATTACCCATCTAAACACACACACGCATATGACAGTGTACTCCTAGTAACGTTGAGAATTGTATATAATTTATCAATTATTAATAACTTTGAAGAAAGAGTATGGCAAAAATTTAGAGTGAGTGGCATTATCTAAATAATTGTATCAAAGAAAACAAGTTCAGAGTAGGACGAGAGGAAACATTGAAATCGCCAACATTTTTTGTCGATAATGCAGCCATTTATTGATATCAGCTTATAGAATAGATAGAAGTTAGTTTTGTAATTACCTCTGATATTGCTTGTCAAATCCTTTGTTCTGGTTTATAATAGCTGTAGATACCCCCCAAAAACCTGCTAATTTTACTTCTTTAAATAGTAATCATAAGGAAATAAAAACGATAGGGAATATGCTTCAAATACACAAGTCCTTAGGTATAATTTAAAATGTACAACACAGTAGCGTTATCATGTTATTATAAGTACTTATCCGGTGAACAAAATATATATATAAATTGAATTAATTCAGTCTTAACATTTGGGAGCAGGTTTTGAATTTTCATTTTTCCAACTAAATCACAAGCGAGTTATAACCTATAGGCGTGATAATTTCCGCAATGTAGGCTGAACTGAAATACTAAATTTATCGAGATATTACTTGAGCACTTTGATCGAGAACCCTTTTGTCAAATCTTAACATTTTCTATATGGTCTGATATGAACACGTAAACATGTTTTAAAACTTTGTACAAATATAGTTGCACAGAAAAGTCTGGAGTTGAATTAGAATGAATTATAATGGAAAAATGTGATGTCAAAAAGCATGACTCAACTTTTCAAATTTTTAGTCTTTGATAAAAGTCAAATATTGTGAGCTGAAGTGAAATGAAGAAACCAAAGTTAATTTTCATTATGACAATTGTTTTAATAATATCAGATTTTTATTCATGCAAGCAATAAAAATTAAATTAAAATTTGCAACATCAATATCTAATTTTAGAGATTCGTGTATTCAGAGACTTTCAAGCACATCGACTTAATTAGACTTTCCTGATAAAAATTTAGCTAACATTAGTATTCTCTTTACTTATATGCGAATACATTTGTTTGATTTTGTTAGACAAAACCTAATCGGAAAATTTTCACTTAGTGATGGAAATTTTAACTCATTTCAAATTAAGACGAGCAATCTCTGGTAAATAAGTGGCACTATTTTGGAAAGGACCGAAATTCTCCTAATTTATTACGCCCTGCATTACGTAGAGGACATGAGTTATAAAAGGATATCTGCAACGATTCATGTTTTTTCTATATGAGTCAAATCATAAAATTATTCATTTCACAAATTTGAGCAAACAGGCAAAATTTGAAAAAAGCTAAGATTCATATTCAAAATTTTTTTTACCTAAAAATAACCAAGCAGAGGTATTGCGCAAAATTTTATAGCTACTATTTGACTACTGTTCTGTATTTAAAAATTGCGTGAAAGATATTATATATATACATATTTTTACTAAATAGTTTTAATCTAACCCATCTGATGATGAATAATCAGAAACATTTTCTACTAAATATTTCGATTTTAACATTGTTTATAATTTCGTTGATTACTACTGAAAAAATGAAGAATCTGTATGATCACCCTTCCAACAGGTAGGTTGTGAAAAAAGTAGGAATAAAAAATTGTACTTTTTGATGAATAAGATAATTTATGTATATATAACTTTATATATACCTATTATAAATAATTTGAATATTGTATTTGTAATATAAGTACTCAATTAATTTTTAATATATATGTTCTAATTTTGTCATGTTACTTGTCACAAAGGTTACATATTTGTTAAATTGTGGGAGAACATTTGTAAGCTTTCCAATTATAGAAGAAGTGTAAAGATTCAAAGTGTTGTTTATTCATTCAACAAGTACGGATTGTCGTTCTGAGGTTGTTTCATTTGTGAGCGACAAAATTACGTTTGTAGAAAAAAAATGGAAATTTTATATACAAATCTATTAAAGCTAAAAACATGAATACTTGCACTCAATACGATGCACTATGACGAACATTTTTCTAGTTTAGAGATCAAAGAGAATATTTTTGTTTATCTGTTTTGTACTGCATTACGTTGCATAGCTTACAGAACAGCTTCAATATTTTCAGAGAAACTATTTGCAATCCAGCATGTCAAATGCAATCGTCCAAATCAAATAAAACGAAGCAAAACGTGATGTTTTTGAAAACTCATAAAACAGGGAGCTCTACTCTACAGAACATACTTATTCGTTATGCGTACAAAAATGATCGCTTTGTTGGTCTTCCACAGTTGGGACATATATTCGGCATGTATTCCGGATCTTCATTTACGCCGTCGATGATGTTTCCTTTACCAGAGTCAACAAATATGAACATGTTACTTCATCACATGGTTTTTGACTACACAGAGGTAATTCATAGTTTTGATTGATTATAGGTTCAAACAGAGCGAAGTTGACAGTATTACTGGTCAAGCATTAAACTGAAAACGTTGATTCCAAATAGTAGTTGCATAATATTAATACGAGTTTTCCAAGAGTCATCAGTACGTGTTATCGCTGGCGTCTTCTTATCAATTTACAGGCTTATCCATAGGACATATTTTTCTGCCCTATTCCCATCCCACGGGATTCCCATTGGAATACAATTCAATAAAAATTGTTAAATTTAGGTTTAGCGTCTACTAAATAGGACTACATTTACGAAGAGACATGCAAAACGACAAAATTTACGCACTTTAATAACTTTATATTCATATATATATATATGTGTCCATCAGCCCCTCCACGAAGTATATTGTTAATGCTGAATATATATTTTGCTCTTCATAACTAACAAGAGAGCTGTGCTCAAATATATGGACACAAAGTCCATAACGAAATGTTTTACTAACATTTCCCCCAAAATCATATGGTTTTCGCGTCCCACGTGTCCCATGGAAAATACAAATGTGTGCTGTCCCATCCCATTCTATGGAATGTTTATTGCAAAATTGCAGAAGCATTGTTCAATTTTCAGTCGCGACCAGTTTCAATATACTAAACCTAGGAGTAATAATATGTATTTAACTGGCGACACAAGACTATGATATATAAAATTCTAGTGACTTAGTAAGGAATGCGAATGCATCTTCGTTGTAAACAAATAATTTACAAAGGCGATGGATGAAACATCATAATCTAAGCAAAGTCAAATTTTTTTTGGCATTGCAGCCCGGTCGCATGAACTTTTCAAATCAAAATTTTTCTGTTTTAGGTTTCTTCAGTTTTACCACCTGATTCGGTGTTCATCACGATTCTCAGAGAACCCGCAACACAATTTGAATCCGCGTTCCATTATTATAAACATAAAAATGCTGCATTTGGTAGAGTAAACGATAAACACGGAATGAAGGAATATTTATCAAATCCTTCAAGGTAATTGCTAGTCATATTGCAAACAATGCAAATGCCGAATTCAAGTTTAGCACTAAACAAACTTTGAAATCTCTCTTTTGAAAGGAAATACAACAAATCGCTCCAATTTTCTGGCTTTCATATGAATATTTTAAATGTAGTAGAAATTTAATATTTCCCTAATCATTATTCACATTGCGGAATCAAACAAAAAAACTATCATTCGATCTTGTTAATAGAAAATCTTACTGTAATTTTATTTTAGATATTACAAAGGACCCAAGGATGGGCAATTCTGGGGCTTCGGAAAGAATAATGTATTTTTCGATTTGGGATTCAACAGCCTATCTGATGACAACGAATACGTATCGAAATCAATCTCAATAATAGAAAAGCAATTTGACTTAGTTTTGATTGCCGAATATTTTGATATTTCTCTGCTATTACTTAAAGATCTTCTTGGCTGGAAAATGGAGGATATTGTCTATCTGTCTCTGAACGCAAGAGAAAAGGATACGGTGGGACGCTTGACCTCGGAGGACATCGAACTAATATATCAGTGGAATAAAGCTGATGTTGCTGTGTACAAGCATTTCAATAAAACAATCTGGCATCGAGTCAAACAATATGGAAGATCAAGGATGAGAAAGGATTTAGAAATGTTTCAGACCTTAAAAAGGGACGTTACCAGTTTTTGTATTGAACCCAACATCAGTGACAGAAAAAAATCTACGGAAAACAAATTTAAGATGTTCAATCCACGTGGAGTAAAAATTGCTCAGTATAAATTGAACGACCAAGCTATTCACAATAAAACTTGTCAAGAACTAGTCTATCCTGAATATACTTGGTATCAGATATTATTAGACAAAGAATATCCAATGAGACTTGATTTATTTTCAAGACTAACTAGTTCATTCATATAGACTTTTCGTGATTATTATATAGTTTTTTGAGCTACACATAAAAAACAGAACCCATATAATTTATAACATATTCTGGAGAGAATATAACTTTTCCTCTGTAACGACGCACATTAGGTTGTTTACGACTTGCTGTGCCCATTATGGACGGCAATTATTCCATTCGTTCCTTTTAAAGCTTTTATGCAGTAGTAGTTAGGGCGTCACGCCATCAAATCGTCAAGTGAAGTATTGATTTTAAAATTTACGTAAATACAATTGTGAATTTCTCGTAACAATTTTAGCTATAAAATGGTTGTGATATTGTTCCGTTGGTAAATAACAAAAAAAATTATATAATTAAAATTATTTAGTTAAACTTGGTGCTTAACTTTTTACCAGACACAATAAAACTCAAGTTTAGTTTTTTTTTTCTACGATATTTTGGGCATCAGATTGCGTATCTAAAATATCATTCGGTATTCGCATTTTAGCGTCCACTCGCGGAAATGAATTCGCTTTTAAAAAGTCATGAGTGGCGTTTCTGGGCCTAATGGTTCACAAAGAAAAATAATTGAAAGTGACCATACAAAATAACCTTATGAAACTCGGATTTATAGCGCTTCAAGTCACTACCATCATTCACTAATGTTATTTCAGATTTATGTAGTCGTTAATTTGAGTAGCCTACTTTTATTCTTCCTTGTGCGTAATTTACAGATGTTGCAATGAGCTGAACGTTTATGAACGTTCGGCACTTGTTCCTCGAAAAAAAAATTTTATTCCTCAAAATCGGTTGGACTGGCACCATCTGTACGCCGTTTCACAGCGCCCAAACCCCAATGTCTGGAAGTTTAATTAAAAGCTTGAAAATTGTTTCAAAAAAATTCTAAACTTTAAATATTATATGTAAAATTATATCTCAATAACGAACAGAACGACATTTCCTGAGATCATTAGAAATTGTCACAAAAATAAACTAATTTTTTATGTTCAAGATCGATGCTCTATCAGAAGTTGCTAAAGCAGTGAAGGCAGATGTAAGGTTTACTTGTATGGCGAAATTCGCAAAGGAACTGACTCTCTGAGCGCAAAAGCAGTTTTTGTTGGTAGACAAATATTATGGGGTCTAGCACTTGCTGGAATTTTGTGATTTTTGTGACGGGAAAAACTACCAACATGCGTGTTTTTCGCATTTCTTATGATTTAGTGAGACAAGTTGTGTCCGACACATAGCGCATATGAATTTGGATCTCAAAAAACAAATCAGGAATTTTCATGTCAAAATTAAAGTCAAATTGATTATTTCATCCTACCATTACAGGGGAAAAATTATAGTGTGATAAAGGTACTGGGAATATTAATAGATGAACTAGTGAATCTATTGGGTAACATTCCAGTTCAAGATGTGGAACATGTTTAAAAAGGTCAACCATTTGGGTACCAACTATAACTAACACAAAATTACAAAAGTACAAAATTACTGTCATGATTGTAAAAAATTCTAATTGCGTATATAAACATATATTTCATTTTACAAGGCTCAAGTCGCTAGAAGAATTAAGAACAACACCCAATGTGCTGGTGCACAAATCATATTTATCTTACAAATTATGAAAAACGACTAAAAGCGTATTAACTCTGGCAAAAGATGAATATTTTGATCTCTCTATGTGGCGATATCCTTCTTTTGTTCATTGTTTCGTATGGACTTCTATGACATTTACATCTATACAAGCTGCAATGGGACGAAGACATTGAAATAAAGAGAAAAACTAGAAAAAGCAAAAGTTTAAGTAATAAGATTTAGAAAAAATAGTTGTATTATTATTTTTGAAATTTGATTTTGACGGTTAAAGCATATTTCTCAATTCTATATACTTCGCGCTATACTAAAATACGTTATTGCTCGTATTATCGCATCGTTGCTACTTTGAGACCTTGTTGGCGTGTATTCGTCCTATGTCTGGTTTAGCGCATTTTTAATTATTATGCCATTTTGGGGCTTTTTGAAAAAAAAACGCTTTGAGTACAATTTTTGTTCGGCGAGCTTATTTAATCACCGTGTTATTGTCGATTTTGTGTATATTTTAAACAGAGAATCGTTTAAATCTTCTAAATCTATTTAATCGAAAAGGTTATATATATAATAACTGACAATTTTTTAATTAATATAAATCTCTAGGAGGGCATTTGAAAAAAAGCATTCAAATATGTTATTCTCAATGAGTTCATAATAATTGTGCGCCGAATTTTAAACTCTGTAGATATAGAAAAACAATTATACTCCAAGAGAGGAAAATGGATAAGGGGTGTCTGTTTCAATGAGAAGAAAAACCTGTAGACAAGTAGAACGAAATCATGAATCATATTTTACCAAGCTGTCTATTCATTAGGTGTTCGTGCATTTACTTATTTCCTGCGAGTAATTCGTTTGTTATGTATTTTTATGTCATCATTTTGGTCGGCTTTGATTCGATTTTTCACCTTATGTAATATGTTTTTGTAACGAGTTCATTTTATTTGTTGGTCAGGCGTATAATCATCATTTTATAGTTTTCTAGAGTCCGTGCCCTTTACTGTCTCGTGATATTGTTTTTGATCTGTCAATCCAGGTTTGTCAGCAATTTTTTCCTTCCGTCAGCGTTGTTGTTAGTTAATTTGCACATTGACTCCTCGCTACAATTCTTCTTGGTTTGGCAGTAATTGTTTGGAGCTGTCGGAAGATAGGAAAACTATAAGATTACCAATTATTAAGATCTATAATTGAAAGGAAAGCGATCTTATGCGTCCCCTCTTTTGTCAATCTTGTTGATTGAATTGATGAAATTGTTGCATGTGTCAGTATTTTGGGTATAAATCAGTCTATTTTGACTCCATAATCAGCATGTTGTTGATGATTATCTGAGCAAAATATGTATATAGGTCTTTGCACAATCTTACCTCCGCTCAGAGGTTGTTGTTCTTTGCCTGCGTTACCAAAACTTGCAGGGTTTAGATCTTACAAGGCTTTATCCCGAACTCGTAAACCGATTCCGTTCCAACTATCACTGTCCGTAGGTTAGTCCCAACGTTACTGGGTAGACGATATAACACTCTTATAGATTTGTATTGTAGTTTTTGACGATATGCACGGAATATATTGAAAACTATCTTAAAACAAGAGAACTACGCACAAATATATGGACACGTTAGACCAGAGCGAATCAGTCCTTTCCGGTACCTTTGACGCTACCGGTACCCTCAAAAAAGTTCTGAATTTCCAATAGCAAGAATTTTGCAGAATCAAAACGTACAGCCAGTCATGACACTGACTAAAATCCGTGTTCCCATGGAAAAAAAATAATACAGCAAAATTTTAGACGAAATATCAAATTTCATAGAATTCACGCAAAATTTTGAAATAAATAAAAGTAATAGCCTTCTAGCGAAAAAATTAATCTTTAACCACTGAAAATTTCAAAGCAATTGATCCAGTATTCGAAGAGAAAAGCGACTTTTTAAAAACGTGTCAAAGAACAACAACAACAACATAATATTGAAACGATCGTTATGGCCACTAAACGTGTCCAAAAACAAACGTGATCTCGTGACTCACGCCATCAATAGTATCGTAACAAGAGAGCTGTGCTCAAATATATGGACACGTCACAAGGTGTCGCTATTTTTTATTCTGATACATGAAAAACGAATCACTTGAAGTCCACAGAAATTTTTAAAATAAGTAAAAGTAATATCCTTCTGGCAAAAATCAATCTTTAACCACTAAAAGTTCCAAAGCAATTGGTTCAGTATTCGATGAGAAAAGCGATTTCATCATGACGAATGAGAAGAATACTAACAAGAACAAGAACAACAAAAAAAATATTGAAACGATCGTTATGTACACTGACGTGTCCAATTATGAGGTATTTAAATGAGTGGTACCGCATGGAACGTAGCTCTAATTAGATTTTATCTGTGTGACCAGTGAATCTCTGGACAAAAAACATGCTTCTTATCAAAACTTAAATTGAAAAACTGGTTTTATTGTTTTTGTGGATGGCGTCATTATAGTTATTTATTTATTTCTTAAATTTTATAGCGATATGAAGTTGAGTAATACCGAAGTTCGAATCTTGGTACTGGTACCTGATTTCTAAGATGTCTTTAGGGGAATCCCCAGGATTGCAGTGCTCGTCGGTATTGTGCACTTGGCAAAAAGGATAGAGAAATGTGATTACATTCGATTTCAAGGTTGTGTTGCTTGGTAAATTGTATTCAATTATAGTCCTTTCTATGATTCTAGGATTTTGAATGCATAAATAAATAAAATAGCGATTTATTTTCTATTTACATTGCCTGCATTGTTTTTTCGCATGCCCGTTACAATTACATTAGTTCTGTAGGTAGTTTTGCGTGGGAATTTGTCTCATCAGACGTGAGAGGTTGGTCACATTCTAGCGTCATTGTCGTATCAATAATCTATCTTGCTGTCGCAATTTTATTTTTCGGTCACAAACATCTGATTTTTCCAAGTTTATCATCGGCCAATAGTTCAAAAATAGTTATGCTTAGTTTTTGCCAATATCTTGCTTCGTTGTAATTTCGAATTCGAAAGACCCTTCAGCCTTTTTAGATTGCAGACTCATCACAGGTCTGCAGATTATTCTGTTACATTTCTGGTTTTGGAATGGATCTAAGCCAACTAAATATTAAACGTTTTGGATTTGAGGTTTGTTTTCAGATTTGTTTATTAGTATGAGTTCGGAGCTAATATGCATTGCCGATTTTGCAAAAGAGGCGAGGCGGAAACTGTCCCCCGAAGGCTGGGGATACTATGCCTCTGCAGCCATTGGCGAAACAACAGCACAAGAAAATTGTGAAGCATATAAAAAGTGAGTTAATTCACTTCTGTTATTTATACTAAGCTATACTGCTATACAGCTATATGCATAGGTCAAACATCTGAACATTGCCAGGCCCAGCTTGGGACAAATTTATCAAACCAACAACAGCAGTCAAGCATGGCGGAATGAAAAATAGTTAAATTAGTCTATTAGGTGGAGAAAAGAAATAGGAATGAGGAATTTTCCCCCTAACAACATCAATCATGCCAACAAGAATTTAGCAAAGCAATTGATATGTCAGTATGTAGGAAACACTTTGTACCCAATACAGCAATAATTGGCTATGTATTAGTTGGCCTATTCCACCATTGTATTGTTGTACTCAAAGGAAAAAATCTTTTGTCAAGTGTTGGAGTGTTATGCAGCTTGCTTTACACTGAAGTGTTATTGGACATTAATTAAGTGAACCCAGGGATCATTTTGCCAAATTGTTTAGTTTGTAAAAATATGGAGCAATCGCTTCCAACTTTTCAGTACCTAAAGATGGAAGAAATCACTATAAATGGCTATTATTTTTTATTTGCAAGTTTTATCAAGTTTACGGGATATTATTGCATCCCTGTAATTTACAGGTACAACTTTAAATGGCATTTGGTATGATTTTCTCAACATGTCACATAACAATTGCTAAAATTCTTGTAACAATTTGCCAAAGAGCTGATATAACGCATATTTATTATTTCTTTGAAAATATAATTTTATGCAATAATCATTGCATCTGAGAAACCATGGCGACAGGAAAAAATTAACAAGCATGTTGTGAATTTTTATAGATGGAGGTTTCGACCAGGTTTGCTTAAGAATGTTTCGGATGTCGATATGTCAACAACCGTACTTGGTTCAAACCTATCTTTTCCGATCTGCATCGCACCAACAGCTCATCATGCTATTGGTTGTGCGGAGGGTGAAGTTGCAACAGCTAAAGGTTGTATGTCTAATATTTTCTACTAAAATGACTGAAAGCCATGAAAATATAGAAAAAAACTTTGCTGTGCATACCAGGGCTGCAGCCAGAAATTTTCCAAAGGGGGAGAAAGGTTTTCCTTTAAAAAGGGAGGGGGGTCAACCACCAACCCCTCTCCGCCTGCTATGCCCCTGGCCCTGGTATATACTATATATACCTTGTGAATTCAGTTTTGCTCAAAATCATTAGCGTAAACAGTTGTTTTGGAACATATTGTTTGTAGGTATATACATTCCTTGGGATGTTCTGGGTTAAAATGAAAACTTCATGTAAGTTCATTCATTATGAAAAGTTGGTTTGCGCATGAAACTTTGTCGTTAAAAACACATCAACCTGTGTACACCATAATTGGGATTCAACTTTTGATTTGTGATGCTCGAGAAATTTTGTGTTAAAGTTTGCTGCATTTTAACTATATATTTGCTCTGCATTTCAACCAAGAGTTAATCTTGAGTCGTTATATTTCACAGCTGCAGAGTCTTTGGGTGCAGGGATGGCGTTGAGTCTCTTCAGTAACTTTACTATGGAAGAAGTAGCTCAAAAGTCACCCAACTGCATTAGGTGGTGTCATGTTCAAATTGTTCAGGTATATTACTGCTCTAAAATTAATTTATGTCAATTAACTTTAACAATTAACAATTAATTCATTATCAAATTAACTTGTTCGAATATGAACAACAGTATACATACGAGGTGCGGCTAAAAAGAAACGGGACTGACGTCACAGATTGCGCAACACGATTAAATATCGGTAATCAACACTTTTGCAGTGTTGCATAATATGTGTTCTTTGTTTAACAGCTGTTTTGACACAATATCGCAATTATTTTTGCTTTTCAGGATCCATAAGTGAATGTGATAAATTTCTTGTTGAAAAAAATGCTGTGCGAGGTCTGATTGAGTTTTTTGGCGATAGGGGGTTCAATTGAAGAATGACGATTGAGCAAAGAATTAACATCTATGCCACACTGCAAAAGTGTTGATTACCGATGGTTAATCGTGTTGCGCAATCTGTGACGTCAGTCCCGTTTCTTTTTAGCCTTACCTCGTACATCATAATCTTTGTGTAAAATATGATAACAGCGACTTTAAATTTATTATACAGGGGGTCTCAAAAATAAGTATACACTTTAATTTTCTTTTCAGGTACTCATCATAGAGAGTTCATTTCTTCAGTAAACATAGTATGGATAAGTAGTAAAATCTAGTTATTGTTTGCATTTTGCATCAACCCACCAAATGACAAGGAGATAAACCTAAGAAATGAGATGGAAAATTGCTGTTTGGCAAGAAGCGTATAAATCAGTAATGCAAACCCAGCGCCTCTTTAACAGAGAATTTAGAATTACCGTAATTCGGCTCCTACATGACGAACAATTTATGCAATTCATCGTAAATTTATGGAAACTGGATTTGTAGTTTATACACAAAGATCAGGAAGACAAGGAGTGCAGGCTCCGGGGAAAACATTCAGAGTTGAATTAATTCCAAATTTCTTTGTTGGAGAGGAGTTTGCCTTACTGGTTATATGCATCTTGCCAAACATCAATTTTGCACCTAATTTCTTAAGTTAATCTCCTTGTCATTCTGGTTTTGATGAAAAATGCAAACCATACCTAAATTTTTTACTCATTCATACTATGGTTCCTGAAGAAATGAACGCTCCATGATGAGTACCTGAACCCTTACCGTGCGGTGGGCACGTATACGTACCAACGATAAACTCGCTAGATCGCGGCGGGTACTTTAAGTTACCCATTGTTTTATTTAGCAATCGGTCGCAAATTGTTGCTCTAGTTTTTCCGGGTTTTAGTTTATTGATAAGAAGTCTTCTTCAAGATTAACATAAGCACCGGTAAATCTCTCTTTCGTTTACGACATGAATTTTATTTGCGGCGGAACGAGGGAGTGTTTTTGAAATTTATGCAAATTTCTGTGTATTTTGGGTGGTAATAGAAGACATATTATCCCTTCCATCTACCAAAGTATTTTGAGTTAGATCACGAAATTGCTACAGCAACATTATGCTACTGTTTGCCAACCACGAAGTGGTAACAGTAAAGGATTTAGCGAATCATTCTATTGTTTATCACGGTTTGAAGTTTCAACTCCCAAGAAAAAAATGCCTTTTTTCTATCCGGTTCGTGACTCAGACCACCACTTTTAAAAAAACTTTTTTTTTAATCGCTAATTGCAAGCTCCATAAATAAGCTTTCCAATGAGCTGTCAGTGGGCAGCAGAGGATCATTAGTTTTTCGTTAGTCGATCGATTAGTTATGGGGGTACAAATGCATAAAATCGGCGTAGCAAATACGATTATTTAATAAAAAATAAAAATCGCATGGAAAGGGTGAAAAGCAAATCAAAAATAGAAGTGTGTAGGTTACTTTTGAGGCACCTTGTATATGTCTGTATAATATGGAAGTTGCATTTGATACAGAAACAACTAGTATGTTAAAATCATTTCTCAAAATAATAACTTGTCAAATCAATGTCCCGTAGTTAAAATCCATTAGGCAAATTCCGAAGCCGGATCACATATCAATATAATATGATTACTAAATCCACAAGCTCAACAATGTTACATTCAATGCATGAGTGATGATGATCATTAGTTCTACAGTATAACTAACTCTTTCCATGGAAAACTTTTGGGCCAATTTTTTTTTCAGGAATACTTGATATATTATGTGAAGAGTATGCCTGTTGGCGTAATTTTAACATGACATGTTCTGTTCAATGTAAACAATAATTATTTTAATTTTTTTTAGAATTCTGATGTCACAGAACATTATATGAAACGAGCAGAGAAAGCTGGATTTACTGGATTCATCGTAACGATTGATCGAGCGGTTTTAGGAAAACGATGTTATAAATATGAAGATGGAGAGCGTTTCACATTCATACCCAAGCATCCGTAAGCCATTGCACCCATGCTGATTCCATTAGTATCAATATATATACCGGTAATTCAAAAGTTTTTTGGTGCATTAGGTACGGTTATTTTTTCAGTCTTTTTTATGTTTTTGATCTATACTGTTCTTTGTTACTAGTTAGTAAGATATGTCATAATTTTTATTTTGTTTTCAATGACACCTTTCAATGTACTACTGCAAGAAATTGAATCTAAGATTGCTTTCCACACTTATTCTCAAAAAGATGATGCCAGAAGGACGGCTAATTATAGTGGCAACATCAATCTTTCTTCCAGTTAGCAAGCGATGTTGTTCATAGGGAAAAGCTGCAAAGTTTGACTTTGGTTGTACCAACTCTAGGAGCAATGTACTAGGTGTTATCGTACCAATTACACTACAATGTTTTCATAAACAAACTCTCATACAGATGCCCCAACCTCCGAGAGTCAATAAAACATTCAATGCCAAATATGAACGAAATAGAAGCATATCAACAAGTATCTAACAGCACAACAGAATGGGACAGCATAGACTGGCTAAAATCAAGGACTAAACTACCAGTGGCTGTAAAAGGGGTTCTGACAAGTAATATGGTACTGCTGTGAATAAACAATATGTTATGTGTGACTAATTTTTCTTTCAATGAAATTTAAACTGAAATTTACCTTTCCACATTTGACATGATTTTTTTTATTTTATTCATGCGGTTAGAAAATGGCCATCTTTGTTTTTAGGAGAAATGGCTTTGAAAGCAATTGAGCATAAGGTGGACGGTATAATAGTATCCAATCATGGTGGTCGACAATTAGATGGAACTTTTGCCACGGTAAGGAGAATCCAATCAAGTTTTCACAAAGGTAGTCCCAGTTATTCATGTTACCGGGTCACATCACTTCATGTATATTACATAGTGTTTTTATGCATCAAATATGCCATGTGGCTGTAGGATTTACATATTTATAAGCCGATAAGACGGCTTAACCATATGGCGAACTACGGCTTCTCGTCCGGTTACCATTCCATGTCGGGTATGGGATTAGTTAGGTATTTGTTTTCGGAAGCATGGACTTGATGGTGGAGGAAGCCGCAACTGACCAGTGGTTACGTGAACCACACCTAAAAAGATAAATAGCATATCTTCAGTTTATACATATTCCTTGAGCGAATCTTTCTTAGACCTTTCTAAATATGAATGAACAAAAATGCCATGCACCCCATTTATATAAGGAGGTATTATATGATACATGAGTCGATACTTCGAAAACCAGTTATTGTCGAAGAATAGGCTACCATTTTTTCTCCGTAGATGCATACCTCAAATTGTTTTTTTAGATTGATGCGCTCCCAGAGGTGGTCAAAGCAGTGAATGGCAGATGTGATGTATACCTAGATGGTGGAATCCGCAAAGGAACTGACATTGCGAAAGCAATTGCGCTTGGTGCAAAAGCAGTTTTTGTGGGAAGACCAATACTCTGGGGCCTGGCTTGTGGGGTATGAAATAACTTTGATATGGTGCTCCAGAAGTATGTGTACCAATATGGAGGTAACTAATTTTGTTCGCCTACTTTACATTAGGTTGTGTAAAGGGACGGAAGCCAATGGACAGGGGGTATATTCACTTGGCTATCACAAACAGTCCCCGAACTCCTAATAGAACTAAAATGAGGAGAATCTGAATAAAATCACGGCCTAACCTGGTACCCATACTACGGGAGTACCCATAAATGGCAACTTAAGACAATACTTCGTATTTTAATGTCGATTTAAGGAAATTAGTAAATTGTACCAAATTTTCTGTATCTCGCAAACTTTAGACTGACAGCGACAGTCATTCGAAGAACTCGGCAGTGTATCTAGACTAGAAAGTAAGCATCAAGTTAATTCTCTCCATCAATTACTACTTCAAGAGTTTTGAAAACATGAAGCTGTTCTTGTCCACAGTTAAGAAAACTCTGTTCTCTAAGCATTTTTTTGATTGCAGTTGTGATCCAATACGTACCAAATAATAACATAACTTTATGTGGCAGGGAACAGAGGGTGTGCAGAAAGTATTGGAAATTCTAAGAGATGAATTGATGAACACCATGCAGCTTTTAGGTAGGTATAATTGATTCTGCTTTAGACTATGAATTTTGGCACTAATCTTTATATGTTCTTAGTTGTTGTCAAGTTTCCCTCTAGGGTGCGCCATTTCGCAGTACAAACCTGGTACAAACAGACCATTTGAGCAGTATAATCTCATTCTCGCGCACTTGCGCAACATAAAATTTCCAATGTGTGGGTCGGACAAATATTTTCTAACGTCAAGCTAGAATGTTCTTTCCATTTGATTGTTCATTGTGATGTCACATACGTGTCTGTTACATCCAAGTACCTTGATTTTTCTGAAATCATTTAAAACGGGCTAGTTTTATCCGAGCCTACAATGCCACTGCGCATTCTGATAATATATTATATTATTGTAGCATTTCACATACTTTGTAAATCAATTAGGACTCTGCTCAGCTTTAAAATATTCATTCCCAGCAAAACATATATTTGCTCAGTGTAACATTTTCATAGAGGGAACACTGGTAGTAGTTGCTGTGATAATTGTTCATTTTTTACAACAATTATCACAGCATCAATATGACTACACTGCTTGATTTTCGTTAATATATATCAGCTTTTTAATGATATATTTACAGGGGTCAGATCTCTACAAGAACTACAAACAACCCCAAACCTAGTAGTACATGAATCGTATCTATTTTCAAAACTATGATGAAATTAATCGACGGGGATAATATTTCATTCACATCTGTTATCGCATCCTTTGGTTTACCGTGTAAACAGGAGGTGCTTTAGACTCATTTAGAGCAACTATACAACAGGAGGTAGATCGACATCTGAGCTGACATTGGCCTATCCGAGAACGCCAAAATCAAATTACAATACAGTACTGTATATCGTACAGCAGGGGTGTCAAACTCGTGAGTTTCCGAAGGCCGCATTGCATTTTGGGAATTGTGCAAAGGGCCGCAAACAGTTTTTGATATATTTTGATAATGTATACTTAAAGAATATTTTTAGATAGGTGTAGTTCGTGGCATATATTGTGATGCAATTGAACAGCCGAATGAAGTTTTGGTATTTTCTTAAATTTCAAATGCCATTTACACATTAATTTTTGCATTTTACTATTATTTTAATTTACTGCATTTATCGCAAAAAATCATAAACTTGTACAACTATCCAAAAAATTTTTGAACAGAGTTTCGATAAGCATAAGGAAACAATAATACATATACGGAAAATGACTTAATCCATATATATAGACCTAATATTTATAAGAATACTACAGATATACTCAATGTTTTTTTTTTACTATATATGTACTGACGTTTGGCATCTTATTTGTGCCACCAGCTTACTAATATCAGGCTGAAATGATTTTACAGTACCAACTCTAATTAACGAGGTCGCATGATCATCGGTTAATCTGGATCCTTGAGAATGTTTTATTTAATTACAGTAATGCAAAAATATTACGTTCATCATTTGTAAAATGACAACTTCCATACCAGAATGACTGACTTCCATACCAGACATTTCCTACCTTTACGTGGCATAAAATCGTTTGGGTTATGATAAATATTAATTTTTAGTAACTAGGTAGTTGTATAATTATGATAATATACAACACTTAAAAAATTTCAGTTCGAATTGTCTTAAAATTTGCCATATTGACTTCTGAGCTTATTCTGATAATGTCTACTTATGTATATTGATTCTTTGTACTGATGGAAATGTGACAAATTAAACAATGTGCTTTAGAATTTTGAGAAATATTGCAACTCCCATTTTTCTTCAAAAATGCCATCTTCTCCATGTACTTTGCGTTTCATTTAAATCCTGAAGTTTTTTTTTTCAAGTATTCTTTTGCTAGTTTAAGGTGTATCCATAATTGGGTCAGATTGAAAACAAAAAAATTTTAATTTTTCAAATCTACTTTCAGTAAATTGTCGTTTTCTGTGTGAATAATCAATTTCACTTCAAAATGTTAGAAAAATGTATTACATTTGGATAATAAAAATACGTGCAAAATACTACAATTATTGTTGAGCGTTCGAGGGCCGCATTGGAAGCTCTCTGGGGCCGCATGCGCCCCGCGGGCCGCAAGTTTGACACCCCTGTCGTACAGTATATTTTATTTTTTTCAAAAATCTTATCTTGTCAATAAATCTTGTGATGAACTTTCTTTTTTAACCCTAACGCAATATAATCAAAATTCCTATTCCTACTGCAGTGCTGGCGTCAAAATTAACGAAAAAAGTTGGTTGGCATAAAAGCCAGTATACAGTTATGACGCGTATCGCTTTTGACGATCATTTTTGTCTTTTGGCCATGTAATAGCAAAGTTTGACACCCCTGTCGTACAGTATATTTTATTTTTTTCAAAAATCTTATCTTGTCAATAAATCTTGTGATGAATATTCTTTTTTAACCCTAACGCAATATAATCAAAATTCCTATTCCTACTACAGTGCTGGCGTCAAAATTAACGAAAAAAGTTGGTTGGCATAAAAGCCAGTATACAGTTAGGACGCGTATCGCTTTTGACGATCATTTCTGTCTTGTGGCCAAGTAAGAGCAAAAATATAGAACATGCTTCCTAAAATAGTTCAGGATCTTCGTTAGGCTAGAACGGTGAGTCTCCAACCCTTTGTTTTCAGCAGCACCATTGTGAAACATTAGGGATGCTGGAGGAACCCTGTACAATAGTTTAATTGTCTGAATTGTGTAAACTAAAAATATACACAAAAGTAAACCTAATACAGTACTGGTGAAACTCAGTTGGCAACCATTGGGCTGGGAGGATGCGATCCACGAGCACATTGTTGCACAGCATTACGAAAACGTCTGATTTGCCCAATACGACAGACTAGAGAGAGAGAGAGAGAGAATTTTTATTGTTTCGTCAAACCAGAAAACACATACAATATATATATGATAGCAAAATGAGAAAAATTAGGTTTCGGTAGATGACAGGGTGGTAACGATACGACCATTAACAGTCATCTAAGTCGGTTACCACCCGAAGCAAGCACATGAATAAATAATTTAATAACACAGGTTCTGTAATATTACACTCTCAGGATATACATATGGAAAAAAAAAACTATATACACTATGTAAAAAATAATGATATCTAATTAGAGATGAGAAAAATTTCTAATCGGGATTAGGAAGTTATTTAAATAAATTTTAAATAGAGAAGAGCAAAAAATAAGAATTCCATACCAAATATATTATTATTTATTATATTAATTTACACTTTCAACCTGTTCTGAATCTTCTTTTGTGCTTACACATGATAAAATATGAGTGATAAGATCACAGGGAAATTGAAGGTTCTATGAGTGACAATAATGTGTTGTGTGAAGAAAACCATAGATTGAGATATGAATTATAGGCATAACAGTAATACAATTTTATATTTTCAATTCATTAGGGTGAAGAAAAAAAAGCAGGACGCATATGGAACTTCTGCGAGATTTATACATTACTACGCAATCCGCCAATCCATTTTTTTGTGCAATTACTCTGTTCATAGGCGGTGTGGCGAGTCGTGCCCAGCGTTACAAATATGCTTGCCACGACAGACGGCACCCTTGGTTACATTGCCTCTGTTCGAATGGGGATAATTATGGGAGAGGAGATAGCTGGACTCGTCGTTGTCGTAGGGTGGTCTCCACGTGAGTGCTAGTCGGTTATGGTTTTCTCCACCATCAAGTCCATACATCTGAAAACAACTTAGCTGGCTGAATAATATCATACTCTACGCCCACATAAACTGGTAACCAGACGAGAGGCCGTGTTTCGCTATATAAATCCCTTATGCTTGATGATAGAAAGCAATTAGGCAAAAAAAATATGATGGAGGATGAAAAGCTTTTTAAGGTCTTCTACAACAGCTCCCATTTGGAACCTCTACGCCATAATTAGTTTTTTAGTCCCGTCCTGCCCACGCAAAATCGGCCATTTCCCGCTGTAAGTGTTGAATAGCGGCCCAGGCTCTGGGGCTTTTTTGTATGTCGACTGAAAATGGTTATATATATGTATTGGAATGGTGTGAATGAAAAGAACTATCAAAGAGATTTACGAACAAAGCGGTCTGAATCGTAACTTATTACATCACCACGATGTGTGTGAGCAAAAGCACACCCGTGGACGTACACAAAAACTCTCGAGTGAGCAAGCAAAACACCATTCATTACCAGCCCGGTTACGTAGAGCAGGATTTCACGACCTGTGGGTCGCCTAACATGTTCTTGGGTCGCTTACTACTTATCGATCTTAAGATCGGTAAGTATGTTGGTCGATAGGTATTTGTGTGTTTGTCTGTTAGACACTTTCGTATGTTACTCGATATCTCACGAAAACGAAGTTGAATCACCTCCAAATTTTGCATGTGCATTCATCATATCTAGTACCAAGCCTATTGATTTGGGATGAATTACGTCGTATAATTAGCAAGTTATTAATTAATTAGTGACGAGACATACAGTGTCACTATGGAGTAAGAGCGCATGAATCGATCGATAAGTCTTCGGTCTCCGACCGATATTCTCGTTTATTTTTTTGTTCAAAAAAAAAGGAGGAGGTCTTATAACAAGTTGCCAGGACCTCATTTCCAACGTACAAAAAGTAGCCTATTTTTTTGATTAGCATTAGTTTTCTCTTATTTGATCGCCACGGTATTTTAAAAATCCGACAGTCTCTGATCTGAATATTTGTTTTTACTTTCTGCTTGTATGTGTTTGTAGAAGCGTATATGATATAGCGTTCGAGTTAAGCTTGGTCAGCGGTATTGTTCTTACCGCTCACCTGAACAATTTCTTCGCGACGGTATTTTAAAAATCCGACAGTCTCTCATCTGAATAGTTGTTTTAATTTCTGCCTGTATGTGTTTGTAGAAGCGTATATGATATAGCGTTCGAGTTAAGCTTGGTCAGCGGTATTGTTCTTACCGCTCACCTGAATAAATTCTTCAAAGTGGGTAATACCCGTATTTGAGAATATATTCACCATCGTGTCTCCGTTATAACAACATTCGATAGCTGAAGTATCCCAAAGAAGACTTTAGAAGCAAAAGCGTCAGTAACACTCTGAACTATATTGTTACTAAGGAAAGTATACGCGCGTTAATGAACGGTAACTGGGTAGTATATATCTAAATGAGAACAATTTAAGACATATAGGAAAACAAAATTACACAAGGGTTTGAATGGTAAATATGAACTTTTTAATGCATTGGCATAAAGAGATTTTAAAATGGGAATCGAGAAAGAACCAACAGTTCAGTTTATTCCAGTAGTCACACTTCTTAATACACTAATCAATCTCCCTTCTTCAAAATTTCATTCTAATCGGTGTCAATATACGTTTGGAAATCTTTGGAAGGTAAGCCTACTTTCGAATTTGATCCAGACTGCGGTTGGTGAGTGATTCTGGACCATTACTTCAGGCAGATTTGTCTTAGTTTATGACATTAATTACTCACAAAAACATAATATAAACTGACACGCTTATTGCCTGCAAATCGCTCATATGTTTAGTAAACTCCTACTGACTCATTTTAAGCGAGCGAGCGAACGACAGGAAATCAATCGGCACTTCAAATAATGTCCTACAATCTAACTGCAACCTCGGCGAATTTGTAATGTAATATAATCAGTGAGTAGCATCCTTTCTACTTGTGTCGGTTGGTGAACACTAAATAATTTAACACGTCACTAAAAATAGAGAATATTCTTTACTTGACGAAATTTCCGATATATTATTTCACTTTGTTGTGCCTCAGAATTGATTTGAGCACGTATTAGGTATTTGCAAGTTTTGATAAAATTTAGTTTTTTCTCATGATAGTTCATTTGTCATTTTATAGGGTAATAATCATTGTTATTAGTTGTTGGGGTTTATCATGAACCAGAGCAAAATTAGTATTTATATATGTGGTGCTCACTGTTCTGGGAAAACTACATTGCAACAAAGTTTGCAAAAACATCCAGAATTTAAGCGTTTTCATTTCAAAACCCAAGATGAAATTGCCAGGGCTCTGATGAAAAGAAAGGGATATACAAAGGTATGAAATAAATATTCACCATCCCAGTTTTTTATTTTGATAAAGTCACATCTTCGATTAAGCGAGACGGGTACGAAAGCGAGACTGGTAGTTATGGAAAGAGAGTAATTTGTATAGCTTATTTTCTCATTTGCAGGAAGACTTGAAAAACAAACATCTATACTTCAAATTTGAGCACGATTTATTGTATCTTCAAACGACAGCAGAACACAATGAGATTTCAGGTGAATTAAACAATAGGATAAATACTTCTGTAGAGCAGTCATCAAAATCTATCTTATTAATCATCATAAAAAGCCGATAGGGTAGTTCGTTTCGATCTGTTTGGTATCTCTATCCCATAGGTTATTAAAAAGTTTTGCTGACTTAACTGAGGCTAAGATAGCTTCAATGTAATATTTCCATGGGACTCGTATTTTTGTAAGCGATCTAATCCTATTCAAGACTTGGCTGTAAAGTCTTTTATTGCTCTATCAAAAATTTTATATATGATTTCTAATTTTGGTTAAACTTCAGTCAAGAATGACTTGTGATTTGACTCGACCAATAAGAATATATTATCATTGTTGCGACTATATCCGAGCTGAATTTGATATGATTCGATCATGTAAATGACTTTTCAGACAAGACTTGGGCTCCATAAATCGGTTCAAACCCCCACTGAATAAATGCAATATAAAGACGTAGTCAATGGAAATTGCCGTAAAATTTTCAGAATTTCTTCTATTAAAAATTACCCACACAAATTTTTTTGAATGTGACAGAGTGCAATGGTGAATATCGTCGCTTTTTGTGGGACCGAGGTGTAATAGATCCGATTGTATATATGAAAGAAATAATTGGCGAAGATGAAGCTACAAAATGTATGGAACTTCAATCTGTGACTGAAGCGTTAAAGAGGTGACGAATCAAATATTAGACCGTACTCAAACTTCGGAGATTTGATAAGTTTAATTCTCTTTCTAATGGATTAAACATTGACATGCAACACTCTGAATCTCAGCTTTTCAGACTATGCTGTCTACGATAGTTTTTTGGCTGTGAATCACTAAAATCGGGATCTCAAACTTTCATTTTTATGTATTTTGGACCTTCTTATACATGGGAGCATTTCTTTCACGTAGCGCGATTTCAATCTTCAATTAAATCTTTCCATTGGAAACTTAATAGCCTGACTCAAATTGTACGCAACCTTTCTACGCCGAAAGACCGGTAATATTGAATAAAAAGGTGCTCACGGACCAGAAACAAATAATCGAAATGAATGGATCAGAAAATAATCCCTGTGTTTAGGGGATATAATGCGACGGTTTTGATCAGACTATACTTCTAGATTGAAACAAAAACTGTAAATGTAAAACTGTAAATCGAACACCTAAAAATGTTTAAAACAAGTCATTAAAATGAATCTCATACACTTTTACATTCACGTATGCGGGGAGAATTTGTGTGCAATTTTGATATATTTGAATGCGAGCGGACGATGACGTTTTACTGGAGTTTCGAAATTCTCCACAGGATTTTGATTAAGCTTACATATTGATTTCATTTTTTTGTCCAAATGTCTGGCCAAAATCTGATGAGAGATAGAGTAAGCGGCGTCACCATGCAATCCAAGTATGATATATAGCCTATAAAATGCGGAAGGCTTTTGTGAGACATTGATTCGATGAAATTTGAAGAAAATAAACTCTTTGGTTTTCAGCTTTTGTTTGTATTCGAATGAAAGTTTATTTGCTTGCTTTATTTGCCACAAAACTTGCTTGTGCGTCTCTCATTTAAAGTTAAATAATTTTGCCACTCAAATCGAACCACAAAACAGCGACTGGGACATTTTTATGGCGTAACATTTTTTGTTATTAATCAAATTCTTATGATCAGTAATGGTAGGTGCAGCCGCTGCACAGTTTGAAACGATACCTATTGTGCCTACGCTCATTTGATAATTTTTACCAATGAACTGTCATGTCATTATAATGTATATCAAGTTTAGTGACTACGTAGACGTTCTAATGATGGGATTTATAGTTTTGTTTACTGAAACCATACCAGTTTGTTAGTGTTCTGTAGTTCAAGAAAGCATTTGGTATTACCCTAAGATTCAAAATAGCCTATATTTAAAATGTTTTTTGTATTGTTAGTGAAGATGGGCCAGAACTTTTTCTATAGCCTATATAATGCCACGAATGCTTCTGAAATTGCTGTTATTTTAGAGCATTTATTTTCTTTTTTCAAGCGGTGTTAGTCTTGCAAAATTGCATAGCTATTTATTTGTGGCGTCAAAATTGTTACTGGCACTAGAAGTTTGGAAAGCAATTGCCTAAATATTGTGATAATAATATCTAATACAACCACATTATGTTTTTAGATGGAAATGTGGAAAAAACGTTCTGATTATTGTGACCAAACCTGATAGAACATTTTTGGAGGAAGATGATATCAGGATGGATGGTGATTTTGAAAGCATCATGAACATTCATGAATCGACAATAAATCTATTAAATGACATTGGTATTAGTCATAAAGTAATCAACGAACTAGACCTGGAAAAACGGACTCAAATCGTTGTGAATGAGGTTAAAGGAAAATGGCCTGAATTTTTCTTGTAATAATGATTGTGAAAGTTTTTATGTCTCTACTGTGATTTCGAAATAAAAAAACTAACTATGCTTTATATATTGGTGAAAACACTTATATATATTTTCAAAACACTTATGAATATTTTCAAAGTTAAATAGATATATATACAGAATTATGCAAAACAATTTTGATGATTTTTTTATATTTAAAATAAAATATGTTTGTATAAGAAAGATTAAATGTAATACAATCAGATGATTTCGAGTCAAACTTTATTATCATACCAATGTCGATAATTTTAGACAAAAAAATCCAGTGTTTCGATTGCAATTTGCCGAGTTTACTAGAAGGTATTAATGACTTTGTGATATACTAATAATATGGTTGGTATTTTCTACCGATCGCCAACTCTTATTTCACACGCTCATCACGCGAGAAGATGGTCTAATCAGAGCCATTATATAATGGCTATGGTCTAATTGTTCAAAAAAATGACGTCATCGGTACAGTAGTGTTTCCCTAATAACAACACCCCAACTCCAACAATAACTATCACCCACAATTATTGAACACGATACTTGTCCGCTAATCTTTTCAACAAACTCGGTGCTATCAGATCAGAGCCATTATATAACGATCAGATCTTACGGTCGTTGTAGCCATATGCGTGCCCGTATATTTTAGCCTTGCACTCTTGTTGAAAAACGTACACGATCACAAAGAGGTTGAGGTGCAATAGTTGTAGCGCAGGGGTCGGCAAACTACGGCCCGCGGGTGTTCAAGTGTTCAACGGCGCCGAAAATATTCAAATGAATTTTTTTGAAATGCAATGACGAAATAAATCTATATTCCATTCGAGAGATGTATCACTGCTTGATTTTTATTATAAAAAGTATCATTCGTTCGGTTTTCAACTTTCTAAAAATACGTGCGGCCCACCAATGACTTGCAACCCAATTTTGGCCCGCGAGCGACAAAAGGTTGCCGACCCTTGTATGTAGCGTGTAAAATACGTGTTTTCAGTTGTGATCAGAGAGGAATGCTTTTTCTGTATATAAATAAATCTGGCCCTAGCACCATTGAATTTATTCGAGAAATCGAGTAAACATAAACATGAAATGCATCGAAATTTGAATACACAATATGTTTCTGCGTACGGTACTTTCATCATTAAATATTTTTAAAGTCCTCCATTTTTCTAATATTAATACGCTCCAGTTTTGAGTATCCATAATTACATGAGTTCAAAAATTTTGACTCTTTGCACATCCACAATCATGCGCGGGGAAATTTGAAGTTTTGAAGTTTGTCGAAATAGCAAATTGGCGCGTGATCTGACTTCGGCATTGGCAAGGGCTCTAGGGGTAAAATGGTGCGGAGGGTAGGCTAAATATAATCTTTCTCTCATCTTCATGTCGTCTGGTATAGAAAAATGAGTTTAACTCCGGATTGGAAGGTTGGGAACAGAATGGATTTTGAGAGAGCTATTCGAAGACGACCAAAGAGATTTCGGTTAGTGCAGTACCGGTAGATTGGCCTCGTCTAGCCATCGCGTTACCGTAACTTTAGTCGGTTGTGGTTTTACCCACACCACGAGAAGACTAGCATAATAATCATCAAGATATGATTGATCGAATAAGCTAAATCGAACGTAAGATTTCCATTGCTACTGTCAGTCTGCAGACTAGATCGTGGTAAAATAGTGCCGTACGGTTCTACTACTGACTTGTAGGTAAAGATAGAGGACTAGCTTGTTTCCATCGCTAGAAAAATCGTGGTCTAACTTATTTACTCTAAATATGGAAGTGACCAAATGATCTAAGTTTCAATTCTATTCCAAATATCTTATGACATAAACCTGCAATATTGTGTAAGTAGTCCAGCTTACTGTACTTTTGTTCCCGGTATTACTACTCTACTGACTGTATGATTATGTTTAACTTTTGTTAGATCAGTAGGCATGGAATATATAAAATTACGCAATTAGGCCTACTTGTTTACCGGCATCTGCTGTAAAATGTTTACAAAACAAGACAACGTCAGAACGTAGTGCAGTAGTCGTGTCTTAGTGCGGCGGTGTGGCTCAACGGGCTAAGCGTTAGGAATACGCTCGCCACCGCACCTCTAACTACTCTGCGTGGGTTCGCAGGTTCGAATCCCATGCAGGGATGGTTATGTGCGAGAGGATTGCTGGACTCCCCGCCGTCGTTGGGTGGTTCACGTACCGCTGGTCGGTTACGGCTTCCTCCACCACCAAGTTCATGCTTCCGAAAACAAACAATACAGTAAAACTAATCCCATACCCCACTTGAAATGGTAACCGGACGAGAGGCCGTGGTTCGCCATACGGATAAGCCGTCTTATCGGCTTTCCTCTCCCCCGGGATAAATATGTAAATCCTATCCTAGTGGATTTGAACCATTCTAGAACAGTCTATTATAAATAACGGATGTTCCCGACGCTTGTTCCCAAACTTTATTATTGCGGAAGCTTTGATGCTTATTTTATTTTGATCGTTTACGCGAGTTGGAACTTACAAACTGGTTTATCGTACTTGTTTCATATCGATCATTTTGATTCAAAATATTCATGTTACATGTCATTTAAAAATACATACTAATCGCTAATTTCAGTCTACAGATGGCGCTATAGAGCAAAAAAATCGTCTCCATTAACATAAATCGGAATAAACTTCTGTTGTCGTAATATTAGATATTATTTTTGCAGATCAGAAAAACTATTGGAAGCAGAATCTCAATCCACTACATATCCGCTTGTTAAAAGATCAAAATCCATCACGCAACAATCATGTCTAATCGTCAAATGTGACGAAGTTGTCCGATTTTTCACACTTTTAGGTAATTTTGTCACATTTTAATGAAGCTGTATTTAAATGTGATCTACTCTTTACCATATCAAAATCCTTGTCAATATCGATTAGAATTTAGATACCAATTTCGAAACCCTGACATCGTTGTCAGCGGTTATGTTGAATCGTTCAGAGCTTATAAAAGATTCCTAGATATTTTGAAATCTAACTGCGGCTATGAAGCTGCATTGGCAATAACTTTATCACCGCTTCTGAGATAACGTAAATTCAACGGTGAAATTTTAGCGTTGGCTAACCTTGTTTTAAATTGTCTCATAATTTTTATTTTCTAGTGCGGCATTATGAAGCCGAATGCCACGAATTAAGAATTTCGACCTACAGCTCAACAGGCACGAATATATAATGTATTTTATGCGTGTTTTTCTACATGGCTACCATATATATTTAATTTCTTCTTTCAACTACATTAATAAGCTATGTACTGCCAATAAATTCCAATGTCTATGAAAATAATTGTTCGTTATGAAATTCTCGTCTCCGATTCAACAATATTGCTTGGCATCGCTACATGCATATGGTTGCCATTCGAATTCTCAAAATCATTTTTCTACAGGTCATCAGTAATCGTGTCAATAATGATTTTACGTAACCTAAGCCGAATTATGATTGAAGATTGAGAATAGTAGATAGTGAATTTTGGAAGATTTTTGTTTCTGATGCTGTATACGTCAATACACACAGAAATAACTGTCATGAGACTATTATCATTTATTGGAAGGAAATCCATCACCTGCTGAAATAAAAACACTCAACTGAATTTTTGACACAGCCGTTATTCAAGCCCATAGGTGGTAGTTACCGTACTTACAATAAGTAATATTCGTATCGTACTATTTTTTCAGACGATCCAATTATTCAAGATTTCTTGGTACACGACATATGTTATAGAGTTTCAGATAGATATCTTCTCGCAATGGTTTTTACATATTTTAAAAGAGCTCATTTATCAACTGATGAATATAACAGACATAATTTCTTTATTGCACTGTGAGTTGGTCTTTTTATTCGGTGACCATATTGTTTTAAAAGTAATATTATGCGATAGAAGTACTAGGTGTTGAATACCAATAAATGTGGTTATAAAGTCAGTCTCTCATTTTCAAAATTAATATTTCCACCAGACAATGCATGTTTGATGTTTGGTCACAATTAATTTCAAACAAATTTATTTATGGCCATATTTAAATCGCATGATTGTTCTTTTCTTGTCTTTGTTGTAAACTGCGTGTCTGAGGAAGTCTGATTTTCGTCAGATGAAACGTAACAGAAATATATTTGTGTTATTGTGCAGCATGACTCTTGAATTGCATAAAACCATCGTTGTTGTAATTTAGACTTGCTCCTGCCTGTTACAAAAGTCTCTTGGGTATCCCTTTCTTGTCTCGAGCTCGATTAAAATTTATAGTATCCAATAATCGCTATTAATTATATAACTGTTAATTAAGATATGTATTATACTAATAGTTATCTTGCTAACGACATGGAGGAAGACGAGGAAGATTTTAAATACGAAATATTTCCCTGGACACTGGGAAAAACATGGAGAGATCTGTTTCCTAACTTTTTGGCGAAACGAGACATATTTTGGTCGAGAATGAACTTCAGAGCAGCTGTCAGTAGGAAGTGTTGTGAAGAGGTACAACTTTTGTCATGCATTTATAGAAGTTCGCTGCAAGCAAAATATTTCACTTTATACTACGATTTTTTGTGCATATCACTGGGAATACAGACCACAATCAGATACTATTTTTGACATGATCGGAATCCTTCCGATTAGGCCTTATCTACACAATTTATTACATCCGGACAGTAAAATAGTTAAGCACATCAAGTTAGCCCAGTCCTCAACATATTTATCCTTGTGGACCCACTGATATGCTATTGGGTTCATCACGGAACCCCTATTAAGTATTAACCATTTGTCGAAAATACTTGCGCTCATCCACAGTACTCGAGCGACTTCTGTTTTTATTATTGATGATTGTTGAAATAGAAAATACTGTTTCACACAAATAATGATGGTAAACCGACACACAATTGACACGGTTCACTCAAAGAGAAATTCTCACCGAATGCTACAGAATTCCCCAAACTCACGGAATCCAAATAAATGATTCACATAACCCCGGTTGAAAAACACTATTCTAACCTTTAAACCTAAAGAGTCTAGGGTAGGCCACCGCGCTGGCAAGACAAATATATCCTAATTTGGTTTGCCAAAATTGAATTTTTCTAATAATCAATTTATTTGCGTTTTTATATGATATATTTATGTTTCGGTGATCATCTGGATCTCGCTCTGGGCCTCTGGCTTTTTGGACACACGACACACAGACAGACGAATGTTCGCCCGAAGATTTTAGCATCATACCATAAATAATTACTCAAATTTATAGGCGTAATAATTTTCAAACGCACCAAGATTCGCATTATACTCTATATATTTCCACTTAAAAGTTAATTCTATTTTATTTAATTATTATTTATTTTGATAATTTATTTTACCATTGAAAAAATATTACATTTATTACTTATCGATCTTGATCGGTAAGTATGTTGTTAGGTTTTTGTCTTTTTGTTTGTTTGTCTGTTAGATACCGACGATAGCAAGGTTGAATCTGCACCAAATTTTGCATGTTCATTCATCATACCTCGGAACAGAAGTTTATTGATTTTGGATGAATTATGTTGTATAATTAGCGAGTTATTAATTAATTAGTGATGGGACACACGGTGTCGCTATGGAGTAATAACTTTCGATTGATAAGATTTCGGTCTCTGACCGATATTCTCCTTTTATCATTGAAAGGTAATGCAGATTAAGCCAGATCATTACGCTTGGAAAAGAGAGAGAAGTCAGTATCACGCCGGTGCTTTGAGAAGTTATTTGAAAACACCTTCAGAAAAAGAACCTTTTCCTCGTGGACCCGGATCTTCCCCTATTCCATGTAATAAGTGTAGAGGAATGTTCATGAGCAGCGGGTGAGGCGAATCTCATAGAATCAATATTCATTCATATGTATGTATCGACGGTAAAGACGATACCATTTGGTCGCTACTATTTTAAATACAAGAATGAAATTTGGTGCGAAAAGGAATATTTCTATTTAGAGTTAACGATGGATAAATATTTGTATAATTATTGCATGAACATCAAACAGAATTTTGTGCTTCCAATATGCTCCGTTAGCAATAAGCTCCCGTATAGTTATGTTTCTCCTACTCATTGCCCCATAAATATTCTTTCCCACTTTACCGTTGCTAATTTATTTTTACCTATTTTGAGAGTTCGTTCACGAGTTAGTCTATCATCAAAACATCATCATAAAAACAAGCCAATATTTATACCCATGCTTGAAAATCTGATATAAAGTATTCAAGTTTTAATAGTTACATCCTGTTAATTTGTTGCTGCGGTTGGTAATTGTTACGGATATATTCAGAGAAGTTGAATCCATTTAATTTTATAATTGGATATATCTTTTTGCCAATCTTACAAGCTAATTAAATCATATGAATGATTACTTTAGATACATTTCTGATGAGAGTGACGATACGACTGACTCGTATATGACTGTTTCACCACAAGAGAGTCCTTGTTCGAGCTCAGAGGTATTGTATTGACACAATAATAAAAGAGCAAATTTCCAAACAATACATTTCACTTGATTAGCAATATTTGTCTTGAATAGCTACCTAAAAATCAGACTCGCCGACTATATATAGTCAACATGTCCTATACGGAGGAGGCAATTCAAATGGCCATTGGCTCCCTATATTCATCCCTACACTCATTTTATTATTGGACATGAGGTGGACCTATGTATTGTTTTGTTAATATGTTGTTGCTGAGAAAAAAAATCGCCTTTTTCTTGAAAAACTGGACCAATTGCGTTGAAATTTTCAGTGCTGAAAGCTTGTTGTCGCTATTTTATTTCAACAATATTTGTGGGATATATTTTATCTAGGATCTGTTTTTCACTTCGAAGTTTTGTGTGATGACGTTATCAAAATTTAAACTTGCGTGCCGTGGTTCCGTGATCACATCATAGTGATCTGATAGTCAGACTACCGCTAATGTAAAAGATTTGATAGAGGCCTACTACTTCGTTTTGCCATTCGTGTCTATATATTTGAGCTTTGCTGCCTTGTTTATTTTGAAATTTATATATTATTAAGTAAGCTGCCCATGTAATGTACTTTCGAGTTAATGTCTGTCGAAACAAAATGATTTCTTCGCAGGATAGAGCATGCGAAACAGCTATGATTTTATACGAGAAGGAAGCCGAAAATAACACAGGTTCATTGGAAGTTGATGATACAGGAAATCATGACATGGAAGAGAGCGATTCTGATTCCAGCTTTGGCATGGAAGGTAATTGTTGTAGTTAAGCGTAAATTTTGTTCGGTGTCAATAGCGCGAATGAGCGTTTTATAAAAAAAAAACAATAACTCCTGTGGAAAGTTTTTGATTAATAGGCATAGTATTTTTTTTCACTTATTGCATATTGGATGGTAGTATCATCTCTTACCATATGCTTAGAACAACGTCCGTACCTCTGACTAATAGTTGGTAGAAGTACTGATAGAAGAGTGGCGGGCAACTTTTAACGCGTCCATATTGTCATCTTGTGAGTCGAATACCTTGAGAAATGCCAGCTCGTTACTTATCAGTGACCGCTGATACAGAGCCTTAGTCGGAGTCACTGCGTAAATACACGGTATAAAAAATATGCATCGTGCAAGTCAATCCTATAAATAACAGCATCTTTTTATGTATATATTCCGAGCTTTGGTACATCGGTATCTTTATAATAAATTTGCTTTCTGATTACACTTTACACAAAACCCTTAAATAGGTTTTTTCATCCATAAACTCAGTTATCTATTTCAAATTCTCAATATAATTTTTCGATAAATCTTTATTTAGGGTTCTTTCAAATCATGTTTACAACGATGTTTTACTATAGATTAGTGAATCACGACCATAGGACTATTATACTATGGGATTGGTGTAATATATTATGGGGTTCCAATAGTTACACCTTAGTTCAATTTTTTTCGATTTTAGAGTTTTGGGAATCATTAAGCTGAAGAAATAAAAAAGAGCGCGGTTGTCAGAGTGAATCTTCTTCCCCAACGTTTGAGCTGGTATCACAGACCTAATTCACAATGTTCTATTCACGAAGGTCATGTCTTGTAAATAAGTTCCACTATCTTGTTTTTGCTGCATGATTGTGTTCTGGCAATTTGTGGTATGCGCAAGTTTGTTGGTTTATTTTATTCGATCCTAATATGGAGCGGTAAATGTGAGATTCAAGACTTGATCTCTTCATCAGTCCAGTCTCTGGTTTAGCGTAAGGTTAACACTTCATACTGACCGTGGTTAACCAAACTTTTGTGAAACAAGCAAGTCTCCAGTTCTTGGTAATGAGATACCTCATTACACTCGAATGATGCTGAGACGAAATCTTTTCAAAAAAATCGCTTTAAACAATATGAAATTTTGGATAGGCAATAAATAATTCGTTGGATGAATTTTTACCTCCCTCAATGTAGTTGTCATAGGGCAGTATTACTAAAATATACCTAGCTTATTGTCGTGGGAGCTGTAAAGACTATGTAGCTAGCGAATTTATATAAAATCTAATCAGTTCTGCCATTTTCTAATGAAATGTTTCTGCTTAAAGAAGTAGTGTGCTGTTCGTGGCGTGTCACAGTGATAATGACAGTTCCCAAACTTTCCTACGTAGAAAAGTTCGTTGTTCCATTGTGCTATTCTATCCTACTTCTCGTTGTTTATTCTTTTGTTCTCCCGTTGTTTTGGTTCAGTATATATTTATAAACAGAATGAATAAAAAAAAATTACCCTTGACTAATTAAAGTTAAATGCGAATATAGTAAAATCTGTTGTTATTTGACAGTATTCGACAGCCAATTTGTAACACTCGGTAGGCAGTTCGTTGTATTTTGTTTACAGTAAATCATTACCACAAAATGAATTTACATATATGGCGTTCTTTTTATGGATACGGAAGGTTTAATTTTCAGTTGGACCGGTTGAATTTGTTATCATTTGAGATTACATTAAGGTGCCGCTAAAATTATTGAAACTTTTGTGCAGTATGCCTGAAAATTACACCTTTCGTAACGTCACACAGTATTTCATTGTTCATTTATATGATGTTGTTGAGAAACGTGTAATTAATTATACGAAAATAAATAAACGAGCCTTCAAAGTTTCATAATATTATTTTAAGGAGCGAAAAGATATGCGTGGCCCCGGAATGTAGTATATGACACACAAGCCAGTAAGAAAAGTCGCGCACGTACAAAAAAGAATGATTTCAAAAACATGGTAACGCTGAAAATTTAACTTAAGCAGTAACTTGAAAACAGGTTTTATGAAGCTAGAGTTTCATTACCTAATGCTCTGAAGGATAGGCCACTAGGTAGAAATAAAATCAAATAAATATTTGTTCAATGCTTTTCGCTTCTATTCAAATTTTTTGAGTGTCTCAAAAATGTCGTGTCCACCGTGTGTCTCACTTGTACCAGGGCAAGGGGGACACGACATTTTCTAGACACCGCTTTTTTATGTATTATGTTTCTACAATTTGGACCGACTTTTCAGTAACCAACGCATTTCATTACGAATATATATATTCCAAAGTTTCATAGCTTTTCCCTACTTGCAAACACTCCCGGGATGGTTTGAAAATAAATATAACACAACATTCGTAATCGCAATTTGTCTCCTATTATGGAGCACATAGTTGCGCTTGCACATAAATCGATTGACTATATGTGCATATATATAATACTTGTTTGCTTGACTGTATATGTGTGCCCATTCGGCTATATATGCATATCACGTTACCAAAAAGTTAATCTTGACCACAAACGAAATCCAGCCACTTTTCATTCGGGTAGGTAAGAGTTTGTGAATATCACATTCACGTAATTTTTGGGTTAGTTTGCAAGTTTCTAGTTATGTTTCTCATATAAATCAAATAATTTAGATCTCATTTTGTCTTTGAGATAGGTTGAATCTGGTTGCAACAGAATGCCAAAAATATTCGCTCGCAATTTAGGGTAAAAATCTTACAATGCTATGATATGGCAAAGGGTCAAAGTTCAAGAAAATAGTCGATGAAACAGTGAAAAAAATTTCGTTCTTTTTGTTTGACACATAGGTCCTAAATACTTAACAATCAAATCATACGTACTTCTTTGTCTCACTTTGAAATAATGTGTGGATCGCTGACACATCATTTAAGGGTAATGTTCGGATTTAAAATTTGCGCACCTTGTGGCTGTTCCGCGAACGAATATCAGCGGAACTCGAACGCCGGCAAAAGTGCGAAGTTTTTGATAGGAAACAGTAGACTGCGGTACCAGATTTCGTAATACACAGGGCTGGGCATTTCGAATCGAATAGTAAATTATAATTTCGAATCGCCGCCATCTTTTTTTTTTTCTTTCCGCCAATGGTCGAGGTAAATTTCTCAATTTTTTTTATTGGAGCCATATTTTTTCAACGCAATTATGACTCTTTTCTGTAGTGAGTTATTGATGAAAACGTGCTTTTTATTGCGTGTGAACGCTCAGCAATCTGCATGAGCGATGGATGTATTCTATGTTTGCACATCCCTAGTAATACAGAAGTGACTTGGATCAGTTGGTATTTCAATTCACGTTGAAACTGAATCATGGAGAATGAATCATTGTCTGAGGACCTGGAAAAGCTATGACAGTCTATGTACGGTTACCGGTACCCTGGGTAGTCGAGTTGTCTGCCTCCCGAGTTTTCCCCTCCATATCCACATATTTGAGCATAGCTGTCATGTTTGAATTGAAATCCATATTTTTACTTCACTGGTTTTTGATTGTCGGATTGATTTTTCTACTTCATTTCTATGGACGGAAACTTGTAAACAAAATCAGGCCACATCATACTTTATACATATAAAACATTTATAAAATATTCAGTGCTACAAAGAAAAACTAATCAGTGCCGTATTTTTCACAATAAAGAAAATATAAAAATCAGTGTGAACATATACTAACATTAATACAAAAAACTACACTGAAATCATATATGTATATATTTTGTATACGTAGAGCGGTATTTCATCCAAAGCCCATCGAAATATAATAATACGTGCAATATATTTGCTATACTAAGTGTGGTAAATTCACACGTGAAATAATGACTATTTTCAAGACATCATAAAATGGAACTCATCTATGAAACTAAATGAATCAAATTTTCAACTCGGATAAAATTGCAACCAATTTTGAACTCCTTACGGAAAAATACTGTATACTTGTATAGACGAAAAGTACTAAATATTGTACAACACCCATAATACTATAATATTCAGCAAGAACTTAATATAGTTATTTATAAAATAGCAATCACTTGAAAATTGAAGAAGTATAAAATACAGTAATGAAACAAAAAATATAGCCTAACATACAGTTGAAAACAAAATTTGTCTACATCGAACTCATCGTTGTTGACTTTTCTGTGGCATAACAGGTTACTTCATGCCGTTTTAACTGTCTAAGTGCCATGCAAAAGTGACCAACTTCCGTTCATTTAAATGGTGATCGAAGGGCCTCAAGCCGTATTGATGTTTTTCACGGCACACAGCTTCAAAGCATATAACTTACTAGAAATTAAATTACAAAATTAAGAGCAAAAAAGGCAGGCGATTCGTGTTGTTTATCCATAATTATTCAAACGAAACAAGTATTCTGCTGAAATATCACTTCAGGATCTGAATGTTTTGAAACCAGTCGTGACTTTTTGATAACTTTCTCATTCTCTTATCCGTTTCCCTAAATAGCCTACGAGAAATTTTCTGCGATGTTGCGGAGAATACTTCTTGAGCATTCCCTTCTTTCAAGCATCTCATTTCGGTTTTTTCGGCCCAACGAAATTCTGACGTTTTGAAGGGCGCATTCCAAGTTCGAGTTGACTCTGTTTGATATATGAGGTATTCGATGAGCTGTCCAGCAAAGTCAATATGCTAAATTAGCGTCACAGATCTCTGGTTTCCCCATTTGGACCGTGGAATTGTGATGTTTCCGCGTATGTAATAGATGAATTTCCTACATTTGTTGTCATGGTGCTGCGGAAGCTCCGAGGTGGTTGAGTCTCCCGTTTCTTGAATATAAAAGTATTTTTATTCGAGTGAGATTCGGAAAATTGCAATAAATCTTTCTTAATAAAATAAGAAACAAGAAAATTTGAAAAGCATTCACACAATAGCCATGGATCGGAGAGGTAGTGACTAACGTACACAAGCAAAATTTTATTTACCAAAAGTCCAAATACAGACGAATAAGGGGCATGAAACAGCTTTCTGAATGAAATTGGATAAATATTACACGAAAATGAATGTAGCAGTGATTCTCTCACATTACTTCCGCAAAAGAAAGCTTGCTTCAATTCTCCGAGTAGGTGTCCACTGAATCCCATATATACCCATGGATTCACGCACGAGTTGAGTGATGCCAGAATATGAATAACTTGACTGGTTATACCTGAAAGTTATTAAAATTATTCAGAACGCAGTCAATTTATAACAATATGTATACGATACGTAGAGAATGCCTAATTAAAAAAATAATGGCAAATATTATCAGAATATATTCATCGTAAAAATGTGCAAAAAATACGATATGAGGATAATATAAAAATTTCAATGCTTGTGTCTGTCCTGCTTCTAGTCGTGTTCGAGCTTAATCTTGATAAATTGGTTTGATTAAAATTTTGATCATATTTCAAGATTTAAAAATATTTTTCCGATTATGTCTACTGAGGAACCGCATTTTTTTCCCGCGTTATACGTGACATATGTGATGTTTTCTAAGTCATTCTGTTGACCGTTTTTGGCAACCCAACATTTCATAGAGGGAGCATGAATGAAGGTTAGTTTTAGTTGTTTTTGTTTGAAAATCCATATATATAAGGTATATTTTACCAAACAATAAGCCAATTAGTAAAAGATTAGTAGAACATGTCCTTTTAGAAGAGAATATACTATAAAATATTCGTAGGTTTTGTATATCCAACAATTTTTTGAAAAATATTTCAAATGAGATTCATTGCGACCCAACTATAAATCATACTTGGCAAAATCCTAAAAATAATCTTGGATTAGTGATGTGTTATCCTCAAAACAAAGCCCAAAATATATTGGTCCCCTGACTATATCAAATTGCTCTGAACATTACCTGTAATATAAATCAAGTTGGTTGATAAACAGTCGTTGTTATCTTTTTAGGGGGTAAAAAGCTTCCTTGAAATTCATCGGCAGCGAATAGGCAAAAAAATTAGGCCCGGTCGATACCCTGACACTGACGTCTATTTTAGGCGCATTTGCCCGATTAAAAGACAGATTTGAATTTTTAAAAATGCGTCGCTGACGAAGTAATCGATATTATACCGACGCAAGTCTAGATTTTGGACAGATAATCCGATCGTAAATAAATAAGATTATTCTTTTCCTTCATCAGAGTTGGTCGGTAGAAAATTCAGTGATACTTCAATTTTTTAAAGCGTTTTTGGTTTAAATGTTTCGACATATACGTAATTGAAATCTGGTAGTAAACAAATAGCTTTCCGTCGTCTTCGATCATATTTGCTTTTTTGAATGGCATCGTTCGAAACTAAATTGGCAGAATTTGCAAACGGTGGAGATAATTATCTTTTTAATTGGCAATTTGAATACTACGGAAATGGTAATAACCCAGAGAGGGTCGATACAACATTGTGCACACACAATACGGAATAAATCGAAGTACTTCACAGGAGGTAAATATATGAATTAATTGGCCATTACACAACGCCAAATTGATTTTAACATATGTTAGTTGTTCATTTCAGTTGTATGGCGCCGTTGTTATTTATCGTTTTTTATTCAGCATGAAAAACTGTCGTGAATATGACCTTGAATATTTTTTAAAAATAAGGCGTTGTTGAACCAAGAAAATCATTGGTTGAAGACGATAAAACCACGGAAAACTTTGGTCTGGCGTGTGTTAGTGAATCACAGTTTTCTGCATTAGTAAGGATGATTTAATATATTGAGGTGCGTATTATAAGTATAAATCGATATTTTCGGAAATTTCCCAGAGTTTCAGACACATTTTGACAATTGCACGTAGGTTCGTGATTGTGAAGAATGAAAATTTAATTTAATATCCACAATTTTTTTTCTGATTTGTAGATGATTTTTATTTTGTTGACATAACACGAAATTTTTATTTCCAATTTAAGGCAAGATCCTTGGGGATTAGAGCTCCGAAAACAGTATTGTCAGTTTTTCGTCAACGCTTTGTTATCGAAAAATTAAACATTTTCAGTGAGATGATGCAATCGTTGTGTTTACTTGTGTCCCATAGGTTATGATAAACTTTTCGTTGCCGACCGGCTTTTTTGGTAACATCTTATGCTTATCTCCTTATTGTTATTATCGGGAGTCGGGAGTAAAAATGAAATTCAATTTTAAACCACGGAAAGTGTGATTACAAACAAATTTCTTTTGTATATATTGTACGAAATATCCAAAAATTAAAAATAATAACTAAGAATTAAGTGAATTTTATAATACATAAATCCAACAAAAAACATATTGTGGATCTGAATATCAAAAAAACACACTTAGAACAAAAATATTTATTGAGAGTCATATGTTTTTTAATATGAGTTTTGCGTGCTCACCATTTCTGTTTATTAGATTCCATTGACTCAGAAGCTGAACTGTGAAAAACGGTGTGTAGCAGAGAGCAAATAATATTACAATTACAAATGTCATTTTCACTGTTTTTATTTTCGCTTGAGACACTATTTTTACGTTGCTGGCTCGAGGCGCAAATTCTGTATAAAGAAAAGACAAGATGAACAATATCTAAACTTTAGAAAATACAAAATAAGAAATTGGATTCTGAAAATTTTTCAAGGCCGATGAAGACCTTCGACTTTCGCCCAAATTCATGCCTCCAGTTTCCTTCTCCTACAGACCTACAGCGTTTACCTCCGTAGCGTATATACTTGATTATTTCATGGTATATTTTAATAACAAAAACATGTACTTTCCCAAGTACTTTTGAATAAAATCAAGATTTTATTATTTTGTCTGGGACTTGAATGCAATACTCGTTAAAATCTCATATTATATAAAAATTAAATTAGCTTACCTCCGTTCCCTCGTATCAAAGTTCTACTGTTCGGTGCTGCTGCTTTCCTTTTTTGACGCAAGTTTTTGAATATTATGAAAGCAATCATCCCATAGAAAAACGTCAGCAAAGTTACTGGCAGTGCCTGTCACAAAAATAATTAAGAATGTTTAGTAGCCTATCTGTATTTTTTTGATATCAATAGAAAAATATAGTGGACGAGAAACATGCACATTATGTAATTTGAAAAATGTTGACATGATAGTGATTCACCGTTCACACCAACACGGAATTTTTATTTCAGTGGAAACACCTTTTTAAACAAAGTTCACTGATAAGTAGAAATATATTATTGAATCTGCTTTTACATTTTGAAAAGACGTTTTGTTTTGGCATGGTCAACTCATATTATAATAGCTCGGGCGACTTGACGAGCGTTGTATTGAAACCCCTCATTTCATTCGGTGATTCTATTAATTAAGGCCAACGCGTTTACCACTATAAATGTCTTTACGACAAATGAAACCAGTTGAAAACGAAACATTTATTATGCTTTAACTTGTATATTACCGCATTACTGTTTAATATTTTTAGTCATCAGTGCAGATCGAAATAGATCTCGTCCAGTCAGATTACTAGGTCCCGACTTTTCTTGACGCCGTTGATTGATTGGCTACCTCATTTATCGCACACTTCGCAGCCAATATTGGACTTTATGTCATAATTGCATTACAATATTCCCGGCAGCTCGATGGCAAAATTTCAGGAAAATAAATGTTATATGCCTGTACGTCATAGTGACCATTTGTGTAATCGGATAAACAAACCCATCGGAAATTAATCCTGCATTACTTTTTGCAAGCTATGAATTGGCTGTAGTTGTCTAAAATTTTGTTTGAAATTTCAACTCATGAAGACATTTTAGATACCGGGAAATCTTAGTAGACATACGCTTTTTACTATTTTACTCGGAATGTCCGGTCTAACCGGGACGTCCGAAGAAAGATGTGTAATGCTACAAATATATACGGCTGTTGTTATGCATTGTTGCTTGTGATCCACACGAAGGTCATTCCGGTTATAGGAATAGCCTTTACAGTTTACACAATTGAACGTGTGCCAAACGTATGTCTACGAGTTATACAAAATGTAAAAAGGCGCAGATCTATTCATCACGATCATTTGACAAATAGAAAAAATTGTAATAAGGAAATAGTACATATGTTGGGAGATTCGGAATATCCAACATCAGTGACGCGTACTGAATTACGTGCTGCTAGCTTTTATATATATTCGAAGCTGTGCATATCACAAATATACTATAGTAGGTTGCGACATGTTATCTTTTGAACTAACCACTAAGGGATAGGAGTAATTGAATCGAAGTCAAAGTCAATTCATCTTTACTCTCGCGAGACTTTGCTCAAGTCATTCAATGGTATGAATATTTATTCTGATTTCAGATGCTAGCTCTTACAAAACAGTTTGTCCATTATTAAAAAGGGAAGCACATGATTATACTATGGAAGCCAATTTTTTTTTTATCAGTAATGGTTTGCACCATTATAAGAAAATGACCTATTCGCGACTAATATAAATAGGCGCTACATTATACTCCAGGGACGTCTAAAGTTGGCACTGACCAATGTGCCATAGACGTAAACGCTTGGTGAAAAACAAACGAGTAGACGTCAAATATGAATGTTTTTGTATGAATGTGAATAAAATACGTTATCCTGTCACGATCCATATATACATTTAATTATGTACCGACCAAAAATTTAAAAAGGAAAAAGCATATTGAATGGGCAAAAATATGGTGCTCGTAAACCCATAAAAATGGACAGAGTTACAGACAGAACTACAAGTAATATAATATTCGAGTATATACTATTATTCCGTTTTAGTGAAGCATAAGTATGTAAGACAATAAATAGTCTCGCTGTTTTTTAATCCAATATCAGTACTGATAATTGACTCCGTGCACCTCTAATATATATATATATATATATATATATTGATCACAGCCGGGATGACCTTGACATTTTAAAATATGTTTTATTTTTTATAGATTGACGTTAGCTTGTTAAAAGCTGTGTCGTTGCATTTTTGTCGTGGATACCATATAGCTTTCGACCATAAACTATTGTGACATAACGCACGTAGCATATGTCCTGATTCTATAATAAGTTATTAAAATCATAAAAATTGAAAAATCGTTTTTTTACAAACTATATTTGCGTTTGAACAAATATATTACTAAATAATTATCCAATACCGACGAATATAAACCATAATATTAAAAATTTAATATGTCAAGGATAAACCAGCCCATCTGGGGATGTTTATTATCCGGTGGTGTTGGGTCACAATTAAAAAATCCGGTTATTAAAACGCAACCAGCAGGTAAGGAAATTTATATTATATGTATTGCAAAATGACCGCTTTTATTCAGAGGGTATATTATATTTTCCGTTTTAATGTAGAAAATGCCATTGTCGAACACAATATTATTTTGAATATTTTTGAAGTGTTTTCGGTGGCCACAGAATGACGCATGAACAGACTGTTAATTGGAGAAAGAAAAGATTAAATATTATCAATATAAATATTTTAGACATTTTGACAATACAATAATTTCAATTAAAAATTGTGGTGACCGACATCTCATAACCAGGTGAGCCACATCTTTTCAAACGATACTCAAATGTTCCTTTTTAACCACCAGTACTTAAAATTCGCTCTAGTCTTCTCTATATCGCAATTACTCTAATTCCCAGCAAGGCCACAAGTCACGTTCGTAGTAAACACATAGTTACATTAATTTGTATCATAATATTCGTGGTATCTAGTCTGCCAAAATTCCCTCGAGAGAAAGTCGTGTAACGTCGCATACGAAAGTGTACTATAAGCAATGTATATTAAACCTGATATATATATATATATATATACCATCGGATATATAATTATTTAATTAGGAATTTTCCGTAATGGAAAGTTTCCATGTGAGTGTGTCACTGTTGATTGATGGAGCACATATATTACCGTTTGCTCGATTGGTCACAAGTAACTACCTGGTCACAACTTTTGAGATTTGAAATTCTAATTTCAGGTCTGTCTGGAAATAGCTAGGTGTTCGGTAACCCAATTTACGAGAATGCTTGTACAAAGCCCTCAAATTGTTATTAAGACTAAGAGAAAGCATGGCCGTCTAAGTCTCGAGATTTTTAGGACGGTTCTTCTGTGCATTGACTACAAGAAATATCTCGTGACTATGGTTGTAATACGTGATCTAATTTTGGAGATGATAATATGAAAAATCATGGCGATGACAGTTACATGAAACGTGCCTTGTTGTTGGAATTTGCATATACGGTATGAATTCTAGTGGGAGAAAGTTCATGATGGACGATTGCTTATTAGCTTAAAAAATCTGATATATCAGATTACTCAATATATTTCGAGCGAATTAATAATTTGGGTTCTTATAAACTTCTTTTTGATTCAGTCAATTAATCACAAAACGCAATGACCGTACGTCAATGAAAACAGTCGTGCGGAAACACAGGAAAGATTTGTGAAAATTGTATGCAAAGTGTATTAAGATATATTCCGCTACGCCCGAGTATTCTGGCGACGACCGGTAACCGACGATACCATTGATTTAAAACCCGCCCTGTCACCGTATCCGAAGTTTATTATTCTGTATGGGGCGTTTCGAACTGAAGAATTACAGTACCTTTAAAATCAAAACTGCTCTCTACATATTAGGTATTGATTGCTTTATTATTACTTTGTTGGGAGCGATGGCGTGGGAAACTGCAAAAATATTTATATACCTTAACAATTCAAACTCTAACGTTAGGCTACTGACCCTACCATAAATTTTGTTGGCGATGTATATAATTGATCAATTTTGGGCCAAACGAAAAAGGAATGCGAGCCGTAAATAAAGATCTATTCTATGGTTACCATTAACCAGTTAATTCTGATCACCTCATGTAGTAAGAAATTATCAAAAACATGCCTAAATCGGTAAGGTTTTAATTTTTCTCGTATTTTGACATTTTTTTTTAATTACTATTTATACCGTAATCTGGTATGTACTGGATATATTTAATTTAATTCTTCGTGATATTTCTGACAACATCATTTTCTACTCAATTAATTTAATAACTAATTAATTTTATATATTATTTTATAGATTACATTACTTTAAATCAATTTTTAAAAACGATTGGGTAAGATCGTCGATTCAATTTTGTTATCCCATTTCCAAGGGAATTGCGAATTTGTTTCACCCATTTTAAATTCTATATTAGAATTGATTTTTTGTTTTCTGTTTACCTAAAATGCAATTTCGATTCTCAGTAAAAAAAAACTGATATTTCTATTCTTTCATTTTTACTCGCGGTCATAGAGCAGCTCAAAAACAAGGCCTAATTTAAATAAGAGAAAATCAGCTCCATTTATTTATATTTCCCCCAACAGCTGCATACCATAGATGATTATCTATTTGTGTTTTTTGTTTATACATCTGGCACTTTTCTTGCAAGTGATTCCCAATCTAAAAGTGGTTGCAACTTACCAGTACCGATATAAAATACCAGGTGACATAGATTTTCTTGCCGACTGTTGATATTCCGTACATTCTGCAGTATGGAAGATGTTCGTCAATTCCGAAGAAAAACAACTGCGTAAAAAAATTTGAATTTATTATCAGTTTATTGATGCTCATCGGCATACTATTTAAATAATTCTATTTTAATATTTTTAATGATGTAATGGCTTTGGAGTTTTCCATATTGGCTTTGCAGAACGGATTCAATATAGTAATTTCGCACTAGTAAAATCCAATCTTCACAATTCACAGGTGTTCCATGGCCAAACCCAGATCGGTCATAAAATATACAAACAAAAATATAGCGCGAGAACTTCGATTGACAAAGTCTTGTTCCCAATGGTGTGACACAAACCCCGTAACAGCAATACAAAACTTTGTAAAGCTGTATTTAAAAAAATGGGTAGACATACGTTTGATGATTTTGATATAGTTGCCAAGGCGACCTATTAATGTTATTAAAACCTGAAAGATTCAATCTCCTAAACAAAATCATGAAAACTTGCTTATTTGCTGTTTAGCCATTCTATTTTGAATTGTTACTTGAATGCATTTCTTAGAAACAGCTAAACGGATAGGAAAATTAGATTATTTAGAGCTTGTATCTTGACGTTAATCGCCATTCACAAGAAACAGACAAATTTAATCTTTTCTGCATACTCAAGCAAGGTGGATTAAAGTCAGTTATAAATTTTGTCAAACTTTTAATATAGAAAATTTTCCGACGGTGTTTACTGCAAAAAACCTTCTTTTTTTAAATTATATTTTGATTTTCATAACAATAAACAAATATGTATAACTACATTCTATAAGCTGATAATGTGACTTAGCATTCCAAGCATTATGTAGATTAAAGGTTTAATTACCGCGGGAGACGACTCATCTAGAGGTGTGGTTCACCTAGTTTTGCCACGAAATCCGTGGTTCACACTCTTTCTTTTCTCATTCCCTGGATAAGTATGAAAATCACATTTACCTGAGGTGTGCTGAGTATCATAGACAACAGCCAGGCCATGCAAATAGCGACATGAACTCTTTTTTTCGACTGCTTGAACGTTTGCATCGGATATCGAATAGCTAAATACCGATCCATGGCTGTACATACCAGAACATATGTACTGCCGTACATTCCAACAATCTGAAGATACTTCACCAACCTTTAAAAACGGATATTTTATGTCAGTATTGCCATGTTCTTGGATCAAAATAAATATGGACGTTTTTAAGCCTTTATGGTATTATAATGAAGCTGCATTGAATTTAAATTGTGGCGCACGAGACTTAAACCAGTAATAACATTCCCCCACAAAAGCATTGGATGTGATAATACACCTCATCTTGTACTGCATAAAAAGAAGAATCGTGCACGCATCCTTCTTACCATTAGAATTCAAGTTAAAATATAGAATTTTTCTGCGTGCGCTAACCAAGAAAAGATTCGTTGATAAACACGCAGAATTTATTTTTACACAGCACTGTTATCACGTGTAAAATCGTTGGACTACATTCCACGCGGAATTAGGCTGACAACACGCATGTGTAAAAATAAATTAGTCCTGCAATCTCAGAATAAAATCTTCACCCATGGCTTATTTTCAAATTTATATCATCTACAATATGCTAATTTCCCAACCCAGGGACTCAAGTTTTAATTTTCATGCTCAATAAACGAGGGGAAAACGAATTAAATTTGTTTTGTCAGTTTGTTTGGATCGATACTGAAAACGTTTTAAAACTATTATCATTTAGAAAAGAACAAATTTTATTCATTTTTCGATTATTATTTCATACGAAATTCGGAAGATGATTAGTACTGTATTTATATCATCAGTTTTCTTATTTTTGCCACTTATTTGAAACTAGTTAAACAAAATTAATAAATATTTTGAAATTTACCTGCAAGCTGCATCCCCGGCATGAAATCCACAAAGTAATCGCATCAAAATTTCAGGCAAAACCTGAAACAAGGCGACTATAATGTCCGCAACAGCAAGGTGAACAATGAACAGATGCATACGAGTGCTTTTTGCACGACGTCGATAAACAGCCAGCAAAACGCAGGAATTTCCAAACTGAAAATATTGAAAGTTTCAGTTATTCATGTAATTTCATCATTAAGTTTTTTCACTGATATGATATCTTTTTATATATAATCTTCTAAGTTGTGTCTTCCTTAATAAGTTTCCGTAGCCATCATCCTCAGTTGGCTATTAGCTACTATACTTTCACTGTCAGTGTACCAACCAGACGCAAAACAAGTAAACAACATGATAGATTTTTTTTTAAATAACTTCAGATATATATAAGAAATTCTCTACTTCCAAGCTGTTTTTTGGAATTCCTTGAACTGCGTTAAGCCTCGAGTTAATCAGTAATTACAACCACCTTAATTCACCGATATATATATCTTCCACCGTTTTTATAACCTCGGTAACACTATACACTTCAGTGGTCGTCTATACTTAGAGATCAGACATATTATCTTCTGTGTGAGTGTTGGTGACCTCGCTTTGGTCAAATTTTATCTATCCACATTTAAATGAAATACAATTATTTATTATATGGTTTTGTGAGTATCAATGGGACATAATCCATGTGCAAATGTGATCCTGTTGCGCATAATACGAATTTTTGTTGTGTGAATTTGATATTGCTCGTTATTATTTTTCGGTCATTTTTAGCATACAATTTATCGCAGGTTAGAGGTCACAGTTATGTGAATATTGTTACCACATAACTGTTCTCCCAATCATATTGACTTCCGCTTCAAGCTTGACGTCACACGATATTTACTAGTGTGTATAGATATGTTGAAAATCTAGAATGCAAAATTCTTCGTAAACAAACATTAAACCTTTTAGTACTAGAATATTCTTTATTTTTTATCAAATTAAGGTGATTGATCAACTAACCATGCTCCAGGGACAAATTCTGAGTTGAACCCTTTGGTATGTAACCAATATTTCCCTTTTCAACCTTTAAATTCAATTTCATTCTTTTGTGTAAAACCGAATAAAATCTAGTCTTTGTCGAATATCAATCATATCCCTTTTAAATGCTATTTTGATTTCAAATTTTTTTTTCAAACATATATCTCTTTGATATGAATAAAGAAAAATCATATATATTAAAAAAGTATTTCCACCCATGCATGGCGCATTGATAACCTGTAACTTTGAAGCCGTGCTTTTCATTAAGACATGTTCGGCGGAGTGTAGTTTTTGTGGGCAAACCTGAGTTGTAATAAAATAACACATGAATAATTAAAGCAGGTCGCAGCGATGATTTATTGGCAATTAGAGCGGAACCAAACGAAAGTTTTCGAGTGAAATTAATTCAGCGAAAATAGAAATGTGACATAAAATGGATTACTCGATGAAAAAAATCTTTCGACGAAAGAAAAATCCGATACTCTGTCCCGAGACAACATTTATCGATTTCCAGTTTTCTTTTTACCTCGCAGTGCCGGAAACAAATTTTTGTGTTAAACGCACGGATTTTGTTTTGTGGCCGATTGTTTTGAAAACAAAATAGCAAGAATTTGAAAACATTGCTTCTAATTAGGATATTGTATATTTCATATGAGTTGCACTTAACACCCGAATCCAACGTGGTAAAACAGTACAACCAAAATAGTATTATTGAAATTATATTGAAAAGTATATTCAAAAGCAATTAGGTTCTTATTCATTTTACGATTCGTTTAAAGAAAAAGAGATTCCCAAAATGAAGCCTAATCACAAATGCTGGAAACAATTCAAATAACCTTTGTTAGCTTGACATAATGTTGGACTGTAAATCAAAATATACAGGAGCTTAATTATTATTGAAAGACTCCGGTAAAATAGGTGGTTTTTAATCTGGATGATGCCATGATTAAAATTCAAGTAAAATCCAACGCATCGTTTATTGATTCACATTATTTCTGAAAAATATTCCGATATCCCTCAAGATTTTACTTCAAGATGATTTTCTCTTATTTTGACTGAGTGTGTCCGGTTGAATTGAGATCGTGAGAACAGTTAAGCCTTTCATTTGTTTTCGGGTTACACACTTTTGGTGACGTTATAGTAAATTATAAATAACCCTGCCGGCACTCCACAGTGCTGTCAGACGGACAAACTGAAAGCGTACTGTCAAAGACTAATTCAATAAACATGTATAAATGTTCGTTTGCTTTTCAATTAATCATTTATTTATTTGAATGATTTTACGTAAATGATTTTATCATCGATTTTGGTTTTAGAGTTTCATGAAAAATTTGCCACGCGCCACAATAAAGAGTCGTTTAGGGTTAAAAAGGATAATTGGATAAAAGAAAAAGTAGAAAAACATTTCAATAAAAATCGATATTGTATCTACGAAACGAACGATCGAGTCATGTTTGAAGGGTCGTAAGTTACTCATAGTAACCATGACGTAGCCTAAACGTGAATGCAAGAATTGAACATTTTCAAGTAGCAAAACACCTCCATAGTTTATATAAATATCATCAATAGTTTTAACGTAGGATTAATTTTGGCTGTTTGTTTTACACTTTTACTATTTTTTCTATTTCAACATATATGTGCTAAATCTTATTAATGTTATTAAAATTGATGGGCAGATAACAACATTATGTCTGTCTGTTCGGGCTATCCAAGCGAAAGAGAGGCACTGATTAGGGCTTGTTTTAGACATAAGCACTTACAAACTAGAATAAATGTTTCAAATTTTTCGCCAGGATGAAGCCTATAAAATATTTGATCCAAAGTCTGGAAATGAGGGTGTAGTATGCATTTAATCAGTGAAACAATGGGAACATTGTTAATTGCTTTACATTAGATCGGTTAATTATCCAGTACAATTAGAAACCTTAAAAGCAGACAGGTAAATGAAGAAGGGAACTGAATTCGGAATGATCAAAATTTTATAGGTTTGTCCCAGAATGCCAAACTGTTCGCACTCTGCATTAATTAAACCGCCGATATGTTTTTTTTTTCTTTTTAAACGTTTACTTATATATCATTTAACAAAAAATCACAAAGAAAATTTCGCTTGTGTGACATATTGGTTTTGATGTTCACCGATTCTAAAACCTCATTTTGAAACTATGACATGATGAATACGAAAACCTATGAAACAATTGAATACAAAGCTAATAATAATAACGACTAACACATGGGATATGTTGTTCACCAATGTTCATTTCAGAATGTAAATTTTCAAATATTTTGAACCTGAGTCGATGAATAGGGCGAGCCGCCATACGTAAATATTTCTCGAAAGGACTCCTGTGACAAATAAACACTAAAAGGCCTCATCTAGTATAGGCATGATCCCAGCATGGAAAATCGATAAAGCGACGTTAGCATAGCATTATTGGTAGTTACGATCCAATTATTTTTTATGGTAGAGGCGTCCAACTGGTATTATTATAGAGTCGAAATATTATACTAAAAAATAAGCGTATCGTTCTTTCACAATATCGAAACAGTAATTATTCGCGTGAAATACATCACCATGTTCCAACAGTCAACTCAAAAATCAATATTATGCAACCAAATCCCTTTTATGAAACGATGGTTATATGGTAAAATGTTTTGTGATCATTTTAGGTAGAAATTATATTTATTTCAGCTAGGCTTGCACGTAATTTACGGATTTACGGAATTACGTAATTATTTTGAGTTACGGAAGGGAAGTTACGAATTCCGTAAAGTCGTAATTATTGCATTGAAACGAGCTTTCTTCAAAGCAGTCAATTTCGTCGATTGCGAAAAATGAAAGCTCAACAAGTAGAAGTTAGAGTTCCGGTATTCGCAGCCGTTTTTCTCTCTCTTGTTACGTAGGTGAGGGAGGGCATGACGCGTTGCCATTCACTAACCTATTATCAACTTCTCTGGCATGGCCAATGTAAATTATTAACGTAGTTAAGGGGGAAGAACTGAGTAGGGCCGTTTGACGCCAACACACCTGGTTTTAACTTCTCCCGTAACTTAACCGTAGATAAGGAATAGGATTGCGTTGAGACCGATTGACGCCAACACACCTGGTTTTAACTTCTCCCGTAACTTAACCGTAGATAAGGGATAGAATTGCGTTAAGACCGATTGACGCCAACACACCTGGTTTCAACTCTCTCGCATCTTATCTAGCATGGCCATGGCCAATGTACATAATAACCGTAGATAGGGGGAAGAATTGTGTTAAGACCGATGGACGCTAACACGCCCGGTTTCAACTTCTTCGGGTGAAATGACTAATGAACGCAGGAGATCAATCTTTCAAACATGGTCTATCAAACATTTGTATCCATTTTACTTTTATTTATTATTTACTTGTTCCAGTTTTCCGTTACTTATGGTATATATGTTCCGTTTCTAATTCATTTTATTTTATAGTCACGCGTTTAAATAGTGGGAATTCCCCACCAAGTGTGGATTAGCAATGCTTAACCATTCTTTAATGTTAATATCAACACTTGATATATGAACATGGAATATCATACTGTTTTTGGCTGTTTTATTTCAGACTTGGGGTATAAACAAGAAAATATCCATAACCGTTCAACACGACGATTTTGTGAAATTTAACGAAGAGCTTTCGCGACGAATTGGAACCAAATAAGCCAAAAGAGCGATTGATCACTCGCGCCAATACCTCGCCGTGATAATTAATGTCGCGCTTATCAAATAGCAATATGACGACAAAAGAGAGATTGCGTAATGAACCAACGCAACTTCGTCTTCTCGGCATCGGTAAAGCGATTGAGACGGCAGAGAAACAGCAAAACGACGGATTCCTCGCGGACCGCAAAAAAAATTTAACTGCTATCATATATAATCAAATATGAGCCAGTGTGTATATTCTGTGCGAGATCCATTTTCTATTACAAAATCTTGATGTTCTGTAAACGGTTTTATCGTTATATATCAGTCCGGACTTGGCCTTGCGCATGATGTTTTTCACAATTCCTCTCAATATTTCGGCCATATATGATTAACTGTCTTACCAAATGCGGCAACTTATTTTGATTTATCGTCTACTTGAATACCACCGGCACTCGACACCAAACTTGTGTCAATCTCGGCCGATAGGATCGCCGACTTGAGTTAGCAAATAAATGTCGTGAGTGTAAAATAAATGTCACAAAATGCATTGTTTTGCGATATAACTTTTGTATTTTCGGAGAAGGCATATCATATAAGTTCGATATTCAAATTATACTCAAATAAATAATATTTAATCTAAATTTATCGCAAATAATGTTTTAAACATTCAGTCCGCGAAATGATTAAATGTAAAATGAAGCATGGTAATCGGAATATCGTCAATAAGTCGACATCAATAATTATTATTATAAAATGCTAACAAGGCAGTAATGTCGGATAATGCAGAAGAAGCTGCAAAAACAAGTCTTCGTCGCGAGGAAATCGCAAGTATAATCAAATGAGTGAATACGCTCGTCGTTGGTTAATAAATTAGAAACCCTTAATTTTTATTCAGTACTAAGGTGGTTTTAAAAAACTATCGTTTCCATAAACAACCGTATACCAGTGTCGGTAATGATAAAATAAAATTGATCGCATAAAAATGGGACGGTTAATTTGCGAAGGTGATAAAGGAAAACCAAAGCTGACACAAAAGATAAAAATCAGAATAAAATTAATTTGAATTCACTCCTTGATATTTGTCTTTAACATCTGCCGATGGCGTGTAGTACTGCCAAGAATATGAAAACCCAACTTCAATGTCCCATTCGGAAAAGAAGTGGATTCCATTGGTTGTTATGATAGGTTTGAATGCGTGGAAAAATATCGCAATTACGGGGTCATTACGTAATTGATTTTGCCGTAATTACGGAATTGATTTTTGTCAATTACGTGCAAGCCTAATTTCAGCGTGGCTATCTGTATTTTGTTTTCTGTAATACTGCGGGCATGATAGAAAGTTTATCTAGATAGGCGTTTTTGTTAGAATGAGATCCTCACAGGATCCTATTTCAGGCATGGAATTGAATGCAGCAAACAGAAGGGGGTTCAACGCATTCTTGAAGACCGTCCCTGATATGAATTAAGACATGACTAATCACGTCAAAAATATGGATCAACTTTTTCGTTGTCGTTGCTTATCGGCGCACTTGATACTGCACGCAAAGTGTAGTCACTCGCACGCATGCCTTTATATCATAATGGAAATAAAAACACGAAACTAAGTAATAAACATTTGACGATTTTATTCAATTCAGAATAAATATAATTTATATATTTAAAACAAACGTCAGCTCTACTCAGGTATATCCGTGGATCAATAGATTTTTAATTTGGTTCCGTTATTAGCATTTTCGAAGGTAAATTCTGCGTTTTCTAGTACTTTGGCTTTAATATTTCAGTGGTTTGAAGATTTTAAAAAAACTTATTGAAATGAAATGAACATTATACAGAAGTTTTACAATAAACTGATGAGAATATTTTTTGGCGTGCCGGATAGTTTCAAAATTTTTGCTGGATATCCGTTTTCTTGATATTATCCAAAACTTAAAAAAAAGTCATTTAATTAAAGTAGTTTGCATTGGAATTTTTTTTTCAATCGGTCTTTCGTTTGGTGACTATTTTATCGAAAATATTCCAGTTTACTAGGAAAATAATAAAAATACATACATAAATAAAAATTTTGATTTAATGATTACTTGTTTAGAAGAGACAATCATTCATATTGAACTAATTACACGAAAACGTCAAGTGTGTAAGTGGATTACATGGCTTATACACGGTACAAAACTTGTAACATTAAATATTAATATATTTCGAAGATAATCTAGCCTTGAGATTGTTCCCTTAAAATTGAAGTACTTTCAAGTTTCTGTCTTTCTGATGGACGTGAACTAGAACTTGAATACCTGAATATGTCTTTTTAGACAGATATGACAGATATGTCTTTATGAATTACATAGTGAAATATTTTGTAATACAAGAATCGAAATTCTTATATTCTTTTGATATTTAATTCAAACCAATCAAATAATATAGTATAAAAGTAAAGTAGCCTATTAAGTGTCAATATTTTCAATAAATTAAGGTGTGTTTTCTAAGTCTTGCGTTTTGCATCTCCGTCATTGAAGTAAATGACTCATTTTATTGATTAATTAATATAATTCTTTTCAATGTTATCACTTCTTGTCTCTGGACAAGGTTCCAAAAAAGCATACACACAAAATAAATATGAATGCTTATCGGCGGTCAGTCATGTCGTCATATCTAATGCCGTCATTGGCTTGAGAAGAAACACTCGCGGTTTTGCTTTGGGCAAGATTTCAAAGAAAAGTCCGTTTGATGTCGGTCATTGCTAAAAGGATCTTTATTTGCGATGTGAAATCAACAATTCTAAATCAATTATCATCGTGTGATTAGGTTGGTGGCATCACATTGCATTTGCCATTTCACCTCATTTACTCAGCGTATTGTTCGCTTTGCGCAGTCTGCCGAATCAAGAAATTAAAAATCGACAATTTATCAACCACGACCAGTACAACTTCAACGATTCAATTTTTTCAGAAATTCGATAACTAGTATTGACAGAATTCCGCAACGAAATAAGTTCAAAGCGTTTTTAGCACAGAAATACACACGAGGAGAAATTGCCTTCCGCTGTAGTAATTTACCATGTCCACCTCATTTTCTCAATACTGTATAACAAAATGAGAGACGATATTCAGTAAAAAATATAACTTCGTTATTCGATAAAAATCGTCGATATTTCTATATATTAACGCTTGTGCAAAATTTCACCTATGGCCCTATTGGCGATTAAATTAATTTTTGCACACATTAGACTTTTCTACACATACCATTGCACAAATGAAGATTGCAGTCAGTACAGCTATTTCTATGTAGTACGCTGTCAATACCCTCTGCGGCAATCCTGGAGGAGGACATGATTTTTGCTGGATCACCACAGGCGAGCTGGTTGAATCCAAATAGATTTCGTTGAATGTTGTGTTTGGTTCGACTTGAGACATTCTTTCATCAAACATTTCAGTATACGTTTGAATGGTAGCCATTGTTTGTGTGGCAACTTCAGACCAGAAAACGGATTGAAATTGAACACAATAGAATGTGTACAACTTAGTATAATTCTGTAAAAAATTAAATTCATAAATAGTTAGTTGTTAGTTAGTCTTTATCAATAAAAAGCTCAAAATACCGAGCTGCATTTAAATATTGTGGAGAATGCACAAGTTATAACAATCTGACTGATATAATGCATGCTATCAATATACATATGCATATATATCATTCGACTGTTATTCAAATATTACGGTAGTAAGCAATAATTGAATTAGGGTCCATAGCGTTTATGACTCAGGAATCAGAATCAGCCGTCTCAACTACCGTATGTTCAAAGAAAGATATCATGAATATTAATACCAACAGTCTCGTCTAAATCCATTATTGACTTAGATTTATTTGTGATTTTGGCAGCCCACCTATAGCACAATTTGAAGATAGCAACTTGAAACTGACTTTTTTATGCGGCTGCAAGTTGCAGTAGGTGGCAGCGCTTGGTATGGTCGGAATGCCACTGGGCGGTAATTAGCGGTATCAGTTCCGCCACTTTGTTTACGAAGGTCAGTTTCGCCACTATATTAACAAAGGTCAGTTTACCGCCCTGGCTTTAGCAGCATTTTCTTCTGATTCCCATACAACATGCAGTTATTAGTCCATTTTGCGAAAATACCCGACTTTCGTTCTTCATAGTAATCAGATGGAGGAACTGGCAAAGTTGACTACCATCAATATAAAGGAAGACACAACCTAAAACCGGTCAGCAAGAATCTCTTTCCCATATTCAAATACAGTTAAAATTTGCAGTCCTCATGTTACTAGTATGACCTAATTCACGTTCTGAGATACAGAATGAAAATAAATGATACGACCAAATGTTATCGACTAACTGTCCTAATTTCACCACTGACCACTAAACTACCTCGTTCTAACTTTTTGTCTTGACAGTTATAGTTTAAGACTATACTGAAAATTCTATAATCTTATTCTAACTTCCAAGTATTACAAAAATGTCTGATTTGGTCCTACAGCTTACATGTTCGTCGACATTGGCTAGATATGGAATCGAGCACTGGACTTGAATTGGCTAGACAAAACAAACATCCATCTTCTATCGCGTAATATATTATACCTAATCCTTCATCAAGTCCTTCAAGTTTTCGATTTTTTAATATAACGCTAAAATCAATTATGAATTTCTCTTGCATTGATCGCGGAGGCGTTTGATGCTTGCATAGGAGTAAGATTTTAGAGTTAAGATAGGTTAATTTATGCCGGAATATCATATACCGAGAAAAATGAAAGCTTGGCTAGAGCTGTGTCTCGCAATCTACCCCTTTAGCAAATATTCACCGTCTTTATGTGCAGTATCTTCCCTATGGATACTCATATTAACGACTCACAATGTAACACAAGAAATTTACACCAAACACTAAATTTTTCCATGGCAACCGATGTTTCCTTCTGTCTTTTTCAAGAATACACTAGCACTATCAAGCTCAAAACGTACTCATGCACTGTCAATAAAGCCAGAAAGAAATTCAAATCTCATTTATTCATATATCGTGTTTAACGAATAAACTGTATCCAACATTTAGCCCACTATTGAATAAAATTGAAGGTACGAACTCTACCTGCAAATTTAGTTAACCTATCGATTATTAAGTATCGACCGAGTATCTGCATGTCAATTCTCGAACCATTACTGCAATTTCAATATTGATATATTAAATTTCGAAGTATCGACCCAATTTATAGAAGTGAATCCTTAAAACACTATTGCAACAATATGAAACACAAAATCGAAGGCTTCAGTGAAAGCAAATCGTATATGATACAACTGTCTTATTGAAAGATTGGAATACCGCGGGGAAAACTAATTAAAATTACTTTTCCATTGAAATGACGTTAACAAGTATATTCTTAATTTCATTTTACTACTTCAAAAAAACGTCCTCACATTTCGAAAAATTAATGTTATAAGAGTTACTTCCTCACCGCTGTATAATTTCTACATCATATCATTTCGGTATCTCTCCTGCTGTGTTACATATTAATTTATTATTTTTGTTTGTTTTGAACATACTTTTACATCTCAATAATTTCATGGCCAATCTGCGACTCTGTGTCGTATACTATACTCAAAATACGCAAAATTTGTTGCGCCCGCGGGGTTGACGTTCAAAATTGGATAAATATAGTTGATGTGATAAAACTATAAATTCTGTGTGTGTATCTTAAGAAAATTATTTATAGGCCAACGCGTGTAAATATTTTTACTTGTAATCGGGCCCAATTTCCTAGAATAACAGCACTAAAATTTTATCGAACAGCATTTTAGAGTAATACTTACTGTTTACACTAATATAATCATCTGAAATTTTTAAATGCAAATGATATTCTTTGATATAATGAAGTTAGAATATCTTTTCAATCCCGCAAACTCTTTTTTCAAAATCTCAAAAATTTTCTTTTAGGCTTTCGAATTTTTCCTAAAAAGCTTATTCATTATCGACAATACTGACTGCAACATTTGAGTTTGATCCATTCAAAAAAATTTTAAAATTTCTTCTAGATGCATTGCAAAAATAACGATCATATTCGAGTCACCCTTTTTTAATTTTTGCGCTTGATACTGATGCTCAGTCTGTTGTGAGCGAAAGATCCTCGAACAAGACGGATAAGCCGTTTTTAATGACCCTCAACCGCCGCCTTCTTCCCATTTAACCAAGATAGAAGAACGCACATCGCTTAAATACGGTGATTAGCGCAAGCTTTAGGCGCATTTGAGGCGATTTAAGAAGAAATATATTGAATTTTTTATGCTCAATTAAACCTATGATAACGTTGGCCATACGTTCTAAAACAGATATAAATATGTCATTTTTTAACTGATAGTTTCCGTGCAAATAAAATCAATCAATTAAAGCTCACTTGTAGCAATGGTATATTTAGGTTCTCTGATACATACATTTTATAAATCGCGACTCTGGAATAACGAAATATGAAAGTCTAATACTGTTCTAGTCCACAGAATGAATTTATTCTAAATATATAAACTGGTTGTTGCCACAAAAAATAAGTTGAAAAAAAAAGAGAACAAAATGTTTATGTATTTTTTAATGACAACGAAATGATTAAATATCAGATCAAAACTTTAATCTGGCATATAAAACAACTGAAAGCGGCCTCACTTCAGTATTATGAACTCATCTGAATGCTATTAATGAAGGAAATGTGCTGCTGCCTATTACTCGTCCGTATTTTAGATCCAGAACTAATGAGCGGCATACCTGTCAGAGCTTTGAATCAATTCTAGCAGATATAGATTAGACAGATTCCCAATCGCGTATTATTATTTTAGATTATGCAAACAAACGTAAGATAAATAAACCTCATTAGAAATTATTATGCATAATTAACTCACACACTAATGATCCCGATCAAATATTTGTAAAACGACGTGCATTTTGGAGAAGGGAATTATGTTATAATAATCCCAGCACATCTGTATATGTGATCCATTTGAAAGATGCAGTTTGAATATAGAGTAGAAAAGTAGGCATGTTAGAGCATCTGAATATCGACATTCATATACACTCAACACTAGCATTCGCTTAATATATAGTGTCCTAACAATTGGGTATGCCAGTAAATATTCTGTTGTTCAAAAACATTTCGCAATTCTATTACTGTGCGGAACGCGTCTATAAAGTCCGAAGTTATTTTTGTCATTAACGGCATCTGGGTTGATGGCTTTCCCGGCAACTAACATCACATAAATTGAATTAAGAGATTACTTACGCTCTTTTAATACCATAAATAGCATATGTTGATTTTGGGATATTAATTTGCATCCGGTCAACATAATGTTCATCGAGTAGCAATTCGCAAACTATTTTGAGAAATCAAAAACTTTCAGTTATTGGAAATATTTTTTTTAATAATTAAGAGACACACGAATTTTCAGTTTTTTTTTTAATATAGTATAAATTTTATAGAAAGGACGTGAACAAGTATGCACCAAAGAGATAGAAAAATATAAAACAAGTTTGATATAAAACGAAGAAATACATGCATTGTGGCAAAAATAGTAAATAAAATAAGAAAAGGCAGTATTCAAAGCTAACTAAAGAAATTTGTCTTTAAACACACATAATTGAAATAGCCTTAGAATATATAGATTTTAAACTTAAGAAGATAGGGAAGAATTATAATAAACCCCGTTAAGTGACAAACCTTGAATTACTAACCAACTTTTTGTTGAATTTACGCTTTAAGTGCGAAGGATTGAAAATCTTTTTATGACGTTATACATTGTTCGGAATTATGGAACAAAGAAATGAGACTCCGTGATTTTGAGAAAACAAAGACTAATTTCGCTTTTAATTATGGTTTATATAATTTTCCCCCATTTCTCGTTTGATAATAAAAAGAATGCAATAAAGATGAAAAATCCAGCATTGTACTGGTAAAAAACATTTTTTGCTCTTTTATAAAGCTAAATAAAAGCATTTTTTTTAAAAAGTTTTTGATGATTAAAAAATGGAAATAAAAAATAAAATTTTTATATATTCGAGCTATGCTGTCAAAAATAAGGAAAAATGCACGAATTTCAGCGTTATTATAACCACATATCATCAAGTTTAATACTACATAAATTGTTGAGTAATTTCTTCAGCGTTGTTCATATTATGTTTGTCAATACGGTAAAATTTTGATTTGTTATGGATTTGATTTCTGGTATGTTACTATCGCCAGCGATAATTGTTTCGGAAAGTCCCTTTCTTGGGTTAACCATATCCATGATACCGGTTGTGACGTCATCTTGTGACGTCAACATATGGATATTCCGACCATAAGGTTGAAATTCTTGTCTAAGATCGGAGTTGTTCATTTTTTGGATGAAGGGACCAATTTGGGGTGAATTTCGTGCGCCACCTCGCGACAGGAAAACGTGGCAATTTTCTAGTCGCGCCCGTTTTGTTGGTTGGTTGGTATACGGAGGCGGTGGATGTATATTGGAATGCCCGGAATGGTTGATTGACGTGATCTCCTCATAAGTGCGTTTGTAACAACGTGTCATCTCATTGGTCTGAGAATCTCTCATTTGATGTTGACCACCTTTGATTGCGTTAGGAGGGATCATACTCTCCCTCATATCATTCTGGTCTGGAATATTTTCATAAGGGTTCATTTCACAACCAACTGGATATTGGTAAACCGAATCGGCATTTTGCAAATGTGCTGTCGCTTGCCCGTATGTAAGATGCCCCGACGACTTATAGTACGCATGTTGCGGCTGTGTGTAAACGTTATTTTGAGCCAATTGCTGTGCGTGATTTTGACGATAGTTCGCTCGTTTTGCCACGCCCATATTTGATTTGGCGGACTTCTGCGAAGTTTTGTCTCCGGATTTTCCTCCTGATTTTTTCCTCGATGTACTGAATTGTTCTAATGCGGTGGTGCGAACACAATGATTTGTATATCGTTTGGAAAGTTTTGCAGCAACTAAAAAAAAATGGCTTTGATTATTTGTAAGCCTAACAGTATGTGCATTTTAAAGCAGAGCTATGATTATCTGAAGCCGTGAATCGAGACCAATGATTGAAATATATCTGAAGCAAGCTATAACTAACAATATTGCCACTTAAGCCAGCAAACGGAAATAATGAAATGTAAAATTCTCCAAACAGTCGGGCAGTAGACTTTTATTAATTTCGCCATGCAAGCCCCAAAGCACACCAATAATAATGTCAGGAAATATCATCGTCGCATACCTGAAATATTTGCCATCATTTGCTGCAGAGCTTTCTCGCCGATCGGCGCTTTACCATACCACATGGGAGAAGTTGGAGTCGATTTTCTACGAGGTTGTTGAAATAATCGACCTTGAAGCGGGTGGAGTTTTTGCAAATATGCTTGATAACTATGTACAGGACAAAGCTCACCCCCTGTTTCGTACATTCGAATCTGGAAAAAGAGGAGATTTTCACATTTAGATTTAACAAAGTGTGCGTTGAAGAAATATAAATGGCGAAATAGTTTGACAGAAGTACATTTAAACCATCCACGATAAATAAACGTAACAAGGTCACCAGACATCACCTCAGATGCCGCGATCAATGCAAATTTTGTCAAATAACTTAATTTATTCAAACAATCACATTATTGCTGGCATCTGTAAAGCAGGTGACAATTAACTAGCATATACCAAATAGAAAAAGACTCAAGCCCATTGACCTTGATTGACAAGGTTTGTTGAGGATGTCGTTTCACCACAAGTTGTAGCATGAATGCAAAACACAACCCTACAAGTAGTAGTCAATGCCGCGGGCCATCTCGTTTAGGTAAAATAAATAGGCAACCACAAATGGCATGGTTGAATAGTACATGAGCGGAAAGGGCGTATGACATTTCTGAAGAACCTCGTTATATAGTTTCAATCATGTTTGAAACTCATGGCCAACAAATATTTCACATGATCAGAGCACCGATGCATCCGCTGATACGAAAAAAGAGGACATGAATCAAGCGAAGGAGAATGGTAGTAAACAGAGAAATTCTCTTTTTATCCCTTTTTTTCTATATATTCTATCGTTTATGTATATACTTCATCTGACCAAATAAAATAAATATTGAATATGCTGAACTAATAGTATTCTGTTCCGTTACTCCTGCTTACATATGCTTTTTGTGAAGCGAAGGCGTTAAACTCGCGATATTTTGTGATCACGTCAATCACTTCTATGAACAACTTTGTTAGAAATCACGACACCCCAAAAGTCTCCTTCCTACACATACGGTCGGTCTCTTATACAAAAGTGAACTCTAAAATATGATGTAGGCTTGTCTATTTCCATGTTTGCTGAAGTTTCTCTTGCAAACTGCATTCAACAATATATGTACCTGTTATATAACGATCGCTTCATCATATATATATTTATTTTAATCTTACCTCATCTGTATCGTTTCCGGGTTTTGCGTTGGGAGCTCTTGATATATACGCTCTGTAATTATGATCTCGAAATATGTGAAAAGAGCTCCTAGTTAACTTTTCTTGTGGCTCAGAACCTTTGTGACAAAAATGAAGCGTGATTTCAAACCAGACCTGAAAAATTCATAAAATGAAAGTTTAATGTATCGAAAACGCAATAATATAAAAACTAGAATTCAGTTGGAAACCGAAGACTTATCGATCGAAGGTTAGGGGATCCCCCAAAACAGTTGTCTTACTCTATAGTGACACCGTGTGTCCCATCACTAATTAATTAATAACTCGCTAATTATACGACATAATCCATCCAAAATCGATAGGCTTCTGATCCGAGCTAAAATGAATGCACATGCAAAATTTGGAGCAGATTGAAACTCGCTTTCGTGAGATATCGCGTGCATCTAACACACAGACAAATGCCTATCAACATACTTACCGACCAAGATCGATAAGTAATGAGTTTGGTTAGCGTCGATCTTTTGTTGATGACAATGTATGCACTTAACGAGATTTTGATTTAGAATCAATTGGTGTTCTGTTTTAGCTCAAAAATATCAGATTTGAACCAATTAACGCTCTAGTAGAAACACTGAGCTTGCTGTAATAACTTAATGTGTGTTGTACGTTTTTATGCAGTTACATCTACGTCACAAACAAAGTTCTATACACAAAGAACAAACCGAATGAGAGGCGTAGGGAATTTTTTCTGAGGAGCTGGAAACACACATATTCCAAACACATATATAAAAACACACATATTCCAATCAAGTGTTTAACTTCAATACCTTTCTTAGCAAGGCTAAAGGACTTCCCGTTCCCAACACATTGGAATCGTACATTTTTCTTAGATCTGCTATCGAAATGGGTTGTTTGTGTGTTATTGTCTTCCCGATACCTTTGAGAATTTTCAGCTGTTTTTCTAAAGTGTCGTTGGATGACCTAGAGAAATATATAGAATAAATTAAATATATGCAATACTTGGTAGTTACTAGAACTGACAATCAGAACCAGCCATCTCCAAATGTTACAGAAAACATGCAAGTTGTCCTATACACGAATCTAAGTTAATCATATTCATAAAATGCTTCAAAGTTGTCCATCTAAGAATGGATAATAATCTAGCAAAATTTTAACATTTACAAAAATGTCAGTATCGAACTAAAAATTTCAAGTTTTACGTACCTGAATCTTTCATCTGTCACGATATCAAAATCTGCACAAAATGGCTTTCCTTTGAGATGTTTATTTATCATGGCACGTAAATTGAAAAGACTGTTTCTTCCATAGTAATCCCCATTTGACTTTCTCACTTCAGACCAAAATCTGCACAGTAATTCATTCAATTGCTCTGGTGTCAGCCTCTCAAACTTCTCGTTGATGGACATATCCACACACCAAGCTGAATACAAATCATCATACGAATATTACAATGCAAATTTAAAACTCAAAATATTAGAATATTGTATTTAGATTAAATAGATTGTGCACGTATATTACGAATAACAAGGTTATTTTCGTTAAGTGTAGAAATTTCCATGATACACAATTAGAATAAGTTCTACGATTAAATTTTAGGAATTCATGTGATGATTACTAAAATATATTTAATGTATATATAGTTTTATAAATCTATACCGAAATGGGGTATCAGATATATATAAATTAAATTGAAAGTTCAAGTTGTTTGTGATATAGATTCAACTGGAACCAGTAGTTTTAAAAGTGTACATAAACAGGAGGCAATTTCATTTCTATCAGTTCATAATGAAGTGGAGGATTATGTCAGCTGTATGAACGAAGTATTTAAACGAGGGCCAGTGACATTTTATTCTTGTTACCATTTATCTTGTGCAAAGTAGGCAGTCACGTTGCGAAATTACATTTATTTATATTATTTACTCTATGCTTCCAACTTGCGGCAAAAGCAAATGGGAATATTTATGCAACGTTTTGCCCGCAGGCGAAGACTATCATTACCGCGAAAGCGTCTCAAGTTTCAACCCCTGATCTGTGTCGACAATAATAACAGGTGTACAAGAGCCATCTAAAATAGACAGCATGATTAGCGTTTCTCAAAAAATTACGAAACCCGATTAGAAGGCATGAAAAATAACAACTAAACAAAAGGTTTCTTAACTGAGTAATTGTCGAATCTGAGGGAGCGTATTATAAATGTACAAAACGGTAAGGCCTTTGTTGCAAAAATAAACTGCCAAAATGCAAAGGGCAGTATAACTCCGTTAGGTTATATACATATATATATTTTAACTGTAACCATGATAAACTTACTTCCCAAAATCTACGTTTTCCGAAAAAAAAAACATGAAGCACTTCAAGCGCAATACAAACTCGAAGAACTCTGCATTGGGGTATAAGACAGAAAACTATCATTACGTATGTATATATATATATATATATATATACAAAACATATGCGTTTTGAATCATATATTCGGCTAAGTAAATGCTTTTGGATGTATGGTATAGAACCAGTGGAAAATTGGATTGAATTTACTGAAATGGAATGACGACAAATGTCTTTTTCATGGTTGATAGCGATTTATAAATAAACATTTCACTGCACATCCGTCAGTGTATTGTCATCACGTTGCAAGTCATAAGACTAACGACGACAGATAAGTAAACAAAACACGCTTACTAATGCATAGATGACAAATAAATAAACGATGCTAGTTTGGGAATAAGTGCTTGCGTTTATTATGTCAATTTCGTGTGTACATAGAAATCGCAAATTGTTTTTCAATATTGATTTGACTAACAGATTGGTTTTAACTAAAAAGTAGAGTTTGTTGAGAAATTCTATATAGTTTCTCCAATTTTGTGGTGTATGTTTAATTTGCTATATTTACAAATATCTTGTCATTAAATAATAAAAAAAAAAAAAGAATTACCTTTAAAAACTTTGACTCCCCATTTTTCATTGTATGCCGTTTTCTTGCTCGACACTTTTTCATCTGCACCAGGTATTTGTCCGTTTTCATGTGAAAGTTCAGCAAGCAGTAAATCATCATGCAGATCTTCTCCGTGCCTAGAAAGATCACTTACGTGTGACGGAAATCTTTCATTTTTCATTGCCGAGTTTGGTAGTACAGATTCCTTCAAATTTCGAGAGAAAGTCAGGACATCCTGAGGCGCATCTTCTATGCTGCTGCCTGACCGCTCTGCAGACTGATTTGATGGAGACGTTGTCAAATCCATCAGAATTGAGCTTCCAACACCACTGTCGCTGCTGACGCTGTAATCTCTGTTTCGCCCTACGTTACCACATATTGGAAAAGTCTGCGAAATGCCACTGTCCACCTCAGCCATGTCCCCTCGTAACAAATCAGAAAACGTGCGATTTCGAATTTCTTGAAAGGAGGGTTGGGTAGTTGGTTGCCCAGCATTCACAAACGGCTGTAATTTAGCCACATTTTGAGCTTCGTCTTCATTCAACATCACGCGAAGAAAATCTTGTTCTCCATTCGCAACAGGTTGACAAGTTGAGACGCGAGTGTAGGATCTATCATCACCAAAAGTTTGAAAAACGACTTTTCGTTGTTCCCATTTTCCTTCGCCTAAACTGGGTTTTAATTGATTACTCAGCATGAATTCGTCAAGACTGAAGGCATCGTCAAACATGCTGTCTGGTGTATCAAAAACATTCTCAGGCATTGGGGGTTCTCCATAAAAATTAAACGCTGCCAGATCAGGAGACTTTGTTTTTGTATATGTCGTCAAATCTTTAGCTTTCACCATTTCTGTTTGGAACAAGGTGAAACATAATTACACTTTTGTCCTAAACCAAATAGTTACTTCTAGAGAACCAAAGTTGCCAGACACATATGCACGGTTTACTCTATCAAATGATAAACTAATTTTAGAAAATTAAATTTACAAATGAGGTTATCGTATTTAGATTCACAGATGGGAAATTATAATTGATTTGAATGATGTGCTCAACTTGCTTTTTACATACCTGCTGAATTGAAGTTTTTATTAGTACTCTCCGTAAGATCTATTGAAGCACCAAAATTTTCTTCGTCAATATATTCAGTAACTGTAAAAAGAAGTCAAATTTTGAGTTTGGATTGTAAATTATAAAGTCTAGTCTGCTGATCTATCGAAGCATTAAATATCAACTATTTTTACTTTGGTGAATTAATGGCGTCAGTTATTGATGTTAAAGAATCATCCCCGGGGATTCGAAATTGACATTTTGACTAAATCAGAGTTTTGTTTAGGTGCGTTTTGGTTCATTAAAAGTCGTATTTCGATCCTCTGCCATTTTCCTTTATTTGTTATTATAGAGTTCATTTATGTACATTAGCATCGTACACGGTGATAAAAACTGTTCTTGCAAGGTTACTAATGAAAATGACAACAGTAGTACTGTTGGCAATTGGAGTATTTTTTGGATTAAAATTCGAATGGTGATTTGAAGGTTGAAAACCAATAGTACAAAAGGACATTGGTTTGTTTATACTATAATTAATCTAAAACTACTCGTTTCATATTGTAGGTTACCAGTGCCCTATAAAAAACTAGGATTCTTGAGTAAAAAGTGATATTATGCTAGTAAGAGGCGCACAACTACTATAATACCAGAGTTGCAAGCGGTTTCTGTGTTTTTAATAAATTTTGGCTAAATTTTACTTGTTTTGTAGATTATTTATTCTCATACCTTGATTGCTCGTTGAACCTAGCTCATCTAAATTAACTTCGCAGTCATTATCGAATGAAGCTGTTCCAGAATCTTCAGATTGAGTATCACTTTTTATAGCTGAGATTTTAAAATATTCTGAAATATCGTTCTCTTCGTCAATTTGATCGTTTGCACGAATTCGTTGAAGAACCTCGTCTGATTCCGACTTCACCCCACCGAAGCAAGATTTCAGTCCTGTTTTGTTCAAGTGAGTATCACGCGATTCAGGATTTGTTGTCGGTGACGAATTGTCGACTGATCTCACAGATTCAATCATGTCTCTTGATTGCTTCAATCAACGTTTAATTTTGCTAATTATTTTGCTGTCATTACAACAAAACAGGTTGTATTTACAACTGTAAAAATGCATATTTTCCCTGTTAGTTTGCGCTGAGCCGTGCTTTGCTAGACATATATATATATATTTCTTTGGATCTAAGTTTCCATGTTTTTCAGCCTTAAAACTGAAAAATTAGACTAGCTCTGTGCTCTTATCTTAACTACAGTAGTTTATTATTATATTTTGATCAACCACATCATATCAGAGACAACCGTCGATAACCGTACGATGCTACCTGCAGCTCATGCACCAGACAAAGACATCTGACAAGAGGTAAGTTACTACATGTGTAATCGTTTGAGCTTTCCACGAAAGTGCATTTTTACCTGACAACTAAAAAGTAAAGAGAGAGAGAGACGGCTATGACCAATTGCCAAAATCGCTTTTGTTTATCTTTCTTTTGTCATGGTTTCTTCTTCTTGCGTTGATGACCATTTAGCTAGAAATGACCGGCAATTGTTAGAATGTCCCGAGGGCAGTTAGCTGAAATATGCATGTGAAAGGGTAAGAGAGAAAGAAAACCTAGACAATAGAACGTTTGAAGTAATTAGACAATAAAAGTTCCAGATCCTTGCTGCAATTTTTTATTCATATACTTTGATATCAAATTATTGAGATGTTTAAACAATTAAACATAATATCAGTAATGATAAATAATAATTACAGTCAAAACAAAAACAACGTGATGAATATCGGCGGCAACTAGGCGAAAATACAAATAATGAAATGATAGACCAGATTTAATACACTAAACGTGAAGAGTGAAAGGTAAATGATGTAGGTTGAATATAGTGAACTGACGACACAGTATTTCAGGTTGTTTCCAGTCGCGTTTTCAAAATTTTGAAAATTAGTGGCAAGTTTCTGATCTAGCTGTTCTGGTCTGAACTACTGCCTGGTTTTTCGAGATAAAATTTGAAATGCTTGATCTTTACAGCACGCAGTAATTTCCATAATCTTTCAAATATTCAGTGTTATTTAGTCTTGAAAATCACGATCAGAGACGAAACACTTAAAAACTTATTTTTAGTAATGTGTTAATGTTGGAATTTATAAAAATCTAGTTGGATTTTCCTTCTATCGAATTTTTTTTTTCAGGGGATGGCTGAAGAACACCATACCAAAGAAGTTGATGAGGGTGACATTGCTGTACATCTGCTTTATGAAGATTAAAAATATATTTGCAAGTAATTTGCTATCGAGTTTCGTTTATACCGAATGGAATTTTAAACTTGACGCCTACTTCTTTAATTAACTAACTTAACTAATTACTGATTGAAATAGAGTACACGTATTTGAAAATAAATTTCGTAAGGTTATCTACGTAATATTGTTATCTTTATTTTATCACGCATTGTGTTACGAAGGCCCACGCCTGGAGTCAAATGCTGTGTAATGTTTTAGCGTACGCTGCCCCGAGGTTTAGCTGAACACTCGCTTTCGCGGAACGTATCTCAGTATATTGCGGAATACACGTTAGTCGTAAAACGCTCAATTTTTACCAGAAAGCACATGGTGTAAAGTTTGTTGAGATAACTGTTATAAATACCAACCAATAACCATTCCCAGGAATTTTAATTCATAGAAACCAATAAAAAAGATCTATAAATGTGAATCGCAATAATTGGTATAAACTTTATGAATGCTTATTTTAGAAACCTTATTTTGCTAATTGTAAACCATGCATTTGATTGATGACCGGGCCCTAAAGTTTATTCACATCTTTGACATATATTTATATATATGTGTTTAGATTATAAAAAAACGCACAAATTTAACCATATTTTACAGTTATCTGAGATTATAATATATATTTTGGTGATTAAAACTAAAGAAAACTCAATAGTTAATTTTTTTGATAATTTAATACAGTTTTTGAGAAATCCGAAGGAATAACATGTATTAAGTAAATTATTACCAAGATTGGCGAATTCAAAAACGTTTTTTTGTTACCCAAAGTCTATGTCCCTTGTCAACGCAAAGATTAAAATTGTTATGAACACACAAACTTTAGTTTTTCTGCAGTATTCGTAATATATTTTAAAACGTTGGTCCCTATGACATATTCTTTATAATTCTTTTCAGTCGGAATTCATATATGTTTCAATTAATCAACATTTTCCTTTTACTCACCCTAGATTCTAGAATAAAGTGTAAAGGAAAATTCGAGTAGACCGCACGTTACTAAAATCCTTGAAGTACTTGTGTATGAAACGTTTCCCTTTACTTTCTAAGATTTATCGCTTATCCTCTTATAATTTCATAAGTCCAAGTGATGACTGGCGCCCCGAATACACTCCTGTCTGATAAGTAAATAAGATGAGAAATGAAAGGGAAGACGGTGAAAAATGTTAAAAATAAACGAAAAAGTTAATCAAATAATCATAGTAAGTTCAATTTCAATACTCTTTCAATGTAGATTCTTTTTTGTCTATTTCCACCGAATTGTCGATGCGACGTAAAATACTTTTGTGTAATATTATTTTATGTTTATATGGTAACAACTTGAAAAAATGATAACTATGAAATTCAAGAAAATTCACGGATTGTTTTCTTAGCAAAGGGATAATATGAATGCTTAGTGTCAAAGTAGTTAATTGGTAGTGTTGTCTCCGACAACGTTTTATAATTCCCATCTTGCACAATGCGCCAACGTGATGATTGTACGGAACGAAAGGGGTTATGCTTATTTGTAAGAAGTAGCTTATTTATTTCAAGAGATTTTATACCATGTAGTTCAGGTTCCCACACAAAAATTTGTTTGTTTTATTTATTAAAACGTTGATGTTTTGAAAGATTATGCAATGCATTTTGCTTGCTTAAGAGTTTGTTGTTCATAATATTGCTTTAGTTATGAATAATCCTAAACTTTTTTAACGTCCAGCCACAATTTTTATAAAATTAATTTTTTGATGTAAGGATTCAGGGAAAAGGAACGGGGTTAAACTTTGACCCCTAGTAGGCTTCCATTGCAAAGTATTGCATAAATCAGATATCAGAGGAATGCGATTTCTTCGCCGTTTGAAGATGATAGAATCACAATTAATTTTCACAGATACAACAATTTATTGATACAATTTTTATTTTTATGTAAAAAATAAACACCACGCAGACACCTGAGAAATTAAAAAATTAACCAAAATGAAACGCGAAAATAAATTTGATTCATAATTCAAAAAAATAAAATAGTAGAACGTGAATATAATAAATAAAATGTCGCATTACCACGAGGTAGTTCTAGAAAGTTGACCAATAACCAATAACTCTCCTTGCCTTGTTCATTTCCTTTGAAAAAAAAAATGAACATCGCGAACCCGTTATAAGCCGAACAGTAAACAACATTCCGATTTCTGAGTTTGATGAGAGGAGTTATTTTCAAGCCAAAAATCTTTTTTTTTCATTCAGTAACTTAATAGATAAACAAACATTCACTGAGTTTGCTTGGAAATCAAAAACGGGTAATTTCGGTATAAAACTTTTTCGATGCTTCAGAATATTACTGAGTAAGATGTCAAATTGCTATAAACGTTTGGAGAAATCCCATTGAAGTCTGGATTAGACTGGCAATTCATTATATTAAAGATTGTGTATACAAAACAAATGTATGCGCAATGAAAAGCGTATCCGTTTTCATTGCTTTACAAATAAAATTTTTTATATTATTTAAAATTCAATTTGAAATCATTAAAGTATGTGGAAGCAACATATTGAAAAAAAATTGGAAAATATACTTTCTTTTCAAAGATTGGTACACCGTGATGAATAACTTATGGCCGTGTATAATTCAACCAGTCACAATGATTTACATATTCAATAAAACAAATGAGGTCTTCATTTCTATGACTCTGGATTGTCAGCGTTTTGTTCGTCAGGGTTTCCAGCTATGACATGGAATCGGATTGGTGATTTTTCGGCCTCGCCGCCCCCAGAAGCTGAAATAAGGAATTATAAATGAATAAAAAAAAATCTCCGAATCTGCAAATTTAAAAATTAAATACTGTAAGTCTAGTTTAATTAATCTCTCTTACGCGGGTCACTACTGTGTTTTTCTATTTAAGAAATTTGAAAATCACGAGTATCCTTAAATCAGCCTGAACAAACACTCAATCGAATGGCGAACTTTCGGTCAGAGTAAAGAGCGAAACTGTATGCGCGTCCAACTACAATTTTGTTTCTCAACAAGTGTAGCACTTTGAAATATAAATTGATGGAATTGTTTTGAAACACTTGCAAAAAGGAAAAAAATATTTACAAGTGCTTCGCAGTAAATTTTTCAGTACCATTGCCAAATCATCCTCGTCCACGCTTCTCCCAAAGATGTGGAAACCAACATGCGCTCGAGCCATTTATAGATTATACTTGGTCTGAGATTAGTATGAGGAAGATGCAAATTCAGCGTTGTGCCCTTCAAATTACGATATCAGATTCTCGAGAGGCGATTGTATGTTACAAATGTAACTATTCCAAACCAACTCTTCACATTTATATATAAATGTCAATAGCTACGGTCAAGACGTTCTTGACATTTTATCTTGACTTTATAAATTGAAGGATTTTAATCTCAGAATATACGCCGATCTCCTAAAGATAACCGCACACCTAAAATGTCTATGCTCAAATCAAACGAGCTCTAAAGCATGCAGAATACGATGAAATACCGTTATTCCTTTACCGAAAGGTCGATCAATTCAGCGTTAGCGACGAGCGGTTTGTTACAAGATACGGGCACGCCAAAAATTGACCTCGTCATTTGAAACACTCCGCCATTTTGTTTATAATCCGTTATTACGCCCATTTCGCACCTTGACTTTCTCAACATGTAAAACTTACCAAGACCAATTATTAAACCGAATATTATGGCGACCAATAAAAGAATTAAGATGAGTCCCAAAATGAATGCGATGCATTTCTTCCTTGTTATTGGTTCATCGTCTGTTTCGTCGCCAAGATATTTCCAAATAAATTGCGGTGCCACACAATATGATGTTCCCAGTCCTTCCAAAAGACTTCGTTTGTCTTCATCTCTAAAAAATGTTGTACTCGCAAATAACTCGATAATTATAGCATATCTTCCAGAATGAATAGCGTTATGGTTTTGTTGAAATAGATTTATGTTGTTTTGGCGTTGTAAAAGGCCACATCATTTACAAAAATTTTCAAAGAATCTTACTTATTCTCTCCCCATCCTTCTTCAGCAGGTGGACATTCATCTCCGTCGTTAGATCTCTGAGACTGTTAAAATAAAGAGTGTGCCACATTAAATGCATTGCTTTATTTGCGTATTAAATTCAATATTCAAAGACACTCATAAATTTCTATACAGTAGGCTACTACTATAATTTGGATGCTTTGCATATATTACTATGTTATGTAACCAAAGAATCACCCATAGAGTAATTGTGTATTACACATGAATATGCATATTAATGCCTAAAGAAAATGTTTATTTCCCGCGCCGATTTCTTTTTTTATTAACGTAATATTCAATAAAAAAAATATATATATATATAAATTTCGTCAACAATGAAATGGAAAAAAAAGTTTAGGAACGCTTCTGAATATTTCAATTCTTGTAGAATAAGTTGAAACAGACTGAAAAACCGTAATAACTAAGTTTGAATTGCTCAGTATTATTAGCAATTTTCAACCAAATGTGAGAATTTGACTTTCCAATATTGTACAATATTTTCATCTACTCCTGAAATAAGATAAATATATGCATGTACATCCCAATATATAAATGTAGATTTCAGAGCGTTGTCACCAAGAATTCAGTCAAACAGAATAACAATGAGAGTGAAAATGTTTGTGACTTGAAAAGTATAAACCAAATTATATGACTATGTTTTAATAGAAAAGCCGTGATAGTTACATTTTTTTTCGACAAGGTTGACTTGTATTTTCATATTTGGTACAAATTAATAAAACCGCTACAACAATATTTCATTCTGTTAAGATTATTTTTCTGTTATGTGAAAACAGCTGTCATTTTGTTATTTTAACCCTTCCAACAAACATCTGCCGTTTGTTATTTTATACTCACTGAATCTCCTACTTTCCCGGAATGTATTCTACTCCGCCGTTTTAAAGAATTAGCAGAATCTCTCCCATTTTTAACACAGTTTTTCGTTCCGTTTCTATGGCCTGTTTCTACATCATTTATAGAGTTCTTCGAATGCATTTTTGCAGAAAATTCAAAATAAATATCGTCTGTATCTTCGCCAGACGATGTTTTACTTTTGGTCATTTCAAATAGAAGTTTATTACCATACCCAAAGAGGATATAAGCTACGACTACATCTCTGTAAGAGCTTTATGCTGATTTGTAAACGGCTAAAAAAGCAATTTTAAACTGAAAATTCGTGATGTTTTACTGGTATTGTATTTGAATATAAAATATTTCTACCCTTTCTCATACAACATAACTTTCTTTTTGATATAGTTAATACAATGACGTCTTACTTTCTCTCCTAATCTTTCTATTGAACCGGCATTTGAAATATGAAATGATAGCTTAATACACAGCTACAAAACATTTTGTTAATAAGTGAATATTGCTCGTATGAATTTAATTGAGGAAACGAGGAGTCACTTGAAACAAACTAACTCAAATGCGAAACACTGAAATATGGGTGGCTGGCGAAAAAAACAGCAGTATGATTGAACTGAACAATAGAAACACAAGCATTACAATGAGCTGCTCTGAGCTAGAAAACTTTGATACATTCTGTCTTTGATGCTAGGAACCAACTGGTGTACCACTGCTCAAACAAACAGTCTTTTGTGTCTTAAGTGTCGTTTACTAACCGACCACAATGGCAAACGGCACATTTGAGTAGGTTTCAGAAAACAAGCAACGTCCAAAAACTACTTCTTGTACCCTGTTTGCGTCACTTGAGTGCGCTCAGATACAATGACATTTTGTACGTACATTTTTAAGGGCCTGAATGATAATAAAAGGTATTAACTTTTCAGAAAGCTCATTTCAAGATTTAATTGTTTGCGACTTGTTTTGCCTAACAACACAATGTGTGTTTGTCAAATTTCTTCTATTTATAATATTCCATTATAAGACGATTGTATATACAAGCAACTATTCGGAAGTACTATAAGTGTCATAAAATAGGTACAACCAAATTATGCAACGAAGGTAAATCGAAATCTTTAGTTTATCTTTGAAGAAGTATAAATTCCGCAGATCTCTTTTATTAACAAATATAGGATATGTGCACATCTTAGATAACAAGTTGGTAGCAATAGATTAAGCTCTCTTAAACTGTTCATTACAAGTACATTGAAAATTATTACCACCTACAGCCCAAACTGAATACGTTGCTTGGAATTGACTTGGACGTACTCAATTTTTTTTTGTGAAGTGATTACTTAATTACTTAATAACCTTGCGTGGAATACGGTTTTATGCAAAATATTTTGCATTATCTGGATTACAAAAAACTTTGTCAAAAATTTGTGTATAGCTTTTATATTTTATTTGAAGCTTACAAAAGTTACTCTTCTTATTGGGTAGCGTTACGCCCAATTGAAACAAATGAATATTAATATCTAATTTTATTTAAATGTGTACCTGTAGCTGATTGAACTCATCTTCTTCATCAGATAATCTTGAATGTATCTGGAAGGTTATGAACAAATTTTAAACCGTTATCTGGTGATTACGTATCAAGAAATTGTATGGTATGGTATGGAATATCAAAAATTAAACAAGATCTGAAAAGAAGTTATGAAGTAAGTTTTATTGCCTAAAAAGTGGATAAAAGTGTACACAGAAACCTAAAAATAGGTATAGTAATATATTATAGAATTTTCAATACTTTTAATTTGTATACCCTTAAAGGCGCATTCATAGCGAGTCATCATTCATTGCACTTTGTATAGCTATATAATAGTAAGGCAGTGGAGTTGTTAAAGGTTTTAAAATATTGATTTCTTAGAATTGAAATTCTACAAATATTGCAATATATAGTAAAAATATAAATTTACTGTGATGGATGACGTTTCTCGTTTGCTGCTACCACCAAAACGAAATTTAGAACTTTTCTCCGCGGTGGACTTTTTCAGGGATGGCGTACTGACATCGAGTTCATCGATGTCATCTTCTTGTGAATAATCCAATACTAATGGTTTAGTTTTATCTGTCGTGGCGAGAACATCGTCGATAGGTTCCCTTGATGTCGATTCTTTAGCTGACGACTTCATCCATCGAAATTTCAATGAACTCCATTTCTTGAAAGTGAATTATAAGAAACGATGTAAAGAACACTAGCACGAAAGAAGAAAGTATAACAAAAAACTCATTCATACGAACAGGCCAAACTCATTGGCTCACTACTAATCGAGCTTTAGCGCAATGCTTACAACATAACTGTAAAATATAATATAACAAACAATATACCGTATCTGTAAAAGCTAAAACGATTTACCGATTTCGAATCCTCCGCTGCACTACTTGCTCTACTGCTGTCATTTTCTGGAAAAACCTTAAAAATGATGTTAAAAATGTATAGGTGCGGTTAGCGTTACAATATTACTAAAATCATTAGTGAGTTTGCAAAATCTGGAATTCATTATTTGAAGTATTTTCTTTATAAGTTTGTATTTTTATAGCTACAAAGCAGAATCTTATCAGTTGATGGTCAGTACGAATAAAAATAGTTCTACTGTTTAACCGTTTGAGATATTTCTGTATACCCACCTAGCTTTTTTGTCACATATAAACATATATAGCCGAAGTATTGGACACGCATTGAATTTCTGCATTGTTTTGCTGAATTCTTGTCGTTGTTGGGGTGATTTAGGTTACTGGAAAAATCGCCTTTTTCGCAACTATTGGGCCAAATCATGACATGTCTACCCGAGATTAAGGCGATTATGTTTTGTACAAAATTTAAAATTTACCTTCTGCGAACGCATAGATGGTGAAATTTTGTTCATGGGAATATTTTCGACTCCTTTTCGTTGATCCTGTTCAGGAAATATGAAAAATGTAACAGTTTTCAACTCATACTATTATAACGATAATTTTATTCAGCAAATTTACGGTATTAATTTATTTCGGTACTTTGGTAAGTATTCATATTGTATTTATCCTGTCGTCGATGACGAAGTGATTACTAGACAGGTGTATTGGCATCCCATCGACTTTATACTAATTCAGGCAAGGAACCAACCCGTTGAAAGTTATGTAGCTTTTCAACAACGTATAAAAACACAAATGTCTGTTGCTGTTCATTCTTACCTGTGGTGATTTACCACTTGTTGTAGCTGACTCTGTGTTTCGGCTTCGGCGCTGAAAAAAATAATCATATATATTTATAAGTTAATCACGACTACAATTGTATTATCTTATTTTTGTAAAAGTACAAAATAATATCAAGATATATACATATTCAATAAACAAATGATATAATCAATATTTATTAAAATATGGTAATTAACCTGAAAAACATGAACGGAAATTACTTATTTTTCTCATATACAAGTTCAGATTGACAATCCATCCATTATTTCTATATTTCTCTATACTTCTACTAACACTTTGCAACGTATCTCGTAAATGTTATGTAATGATATTGTGAGTATTTTCCTGACATGAACTACGACGTTATAAAGATACAGTATGCAATACTGATATACAAAAAATAATACATTTATTATCAAAATGATACAAAACTACTCGACAATATATTTTTCATAATATATTATTCAAATGACATCAGCGGTACAGATAACGGAAGTTAATGGAACAAAGCCTCTTCGTACAGCTTGTATCTTGTATGCAATTCTTTTAGCTTCTAGAAAAACTAGTCACATAAATATATCAATTTCTGTTTTCGGAAATTGATCTAATCTGCGTTATCAATAAAAATTACCGCCGAATAAAACAAATTGAATAAATCGAAAACTAAACAGGGATGTAAAAATATTGCATCTCGATTTATTCAGGAAAAACAAGCCTGCTGCAAAAGAATGAAGAATGAGAGAGTACTAATATCTGTAAAATATGAATTATCATGTGTAAATTTACATACATACATGTAATATATAAATATTCTCTACGAATTCGTGATGTCACTTACTTTTTATCTATGTAATTTTCCCTATCTAATATTAACACCATATCAATCTAAGTAAATCACCCGCTAACTATGACAACAAATCTAACACATTTCACCAAAAAACTATGGTGCGCTGGTATTGTTTTTCTACTTTAAGCCACCTTGAAGAAACGGTGTAAAAGACTCGTCTTCACTGTCTCATTTCGACTTTCCACGGTCGGTATCTCATCTATGCTTTGCTCATCGCTGATGTGATCATCAACAATGTCGTCCGAAATCAATGCAGTTGCTACTGTTTCAGATTTCTTAGATTTTTTGAAAAATGACAAAAAACTTTTTGTTTTTCTTTCGGTAGTTTCTTGTTCTTGCTCATCATTATCGTCAGCACCCTCATCATCATTATTATTATCATCATGAGCATCAGTTGGGATTGTCATTTTCTTCTTTCGAGGTATTAATGAACTTATTAGGCCTTTAAATGCATCAGCCATTGTAGGTGCCGGTGCTGAAGAAATATTGTCAGCACTTTGACTTCCACCTTCATTTGATATCACTGAATCAGCTCTTGGAAATCTCACCCCGACGCCTGGCACGTTAAGTTTTACACTCTGATGAAACAGATGTTAATATTTTTTTTATTTAGATATAAAATAATATGACATTTTTGAGAATTTGAAAGATGTTATCTAACCTTAGAACGCGAAAAACTGGGAAAATCGACCCTGCTTGATGATTTGCTTGAAATTGACAACTGAAAACAAATTTTTATTTTGTAATAAATGTAAGCGCGGATAACCTAACAAAATCGAATAAATTCTTGCCTTCTGATGTGGGGTTGATTCAACTTCTGCGGATGACAATGATAATTCTCTGGTAAACTTGAAACTTCTTTGACCAGCCATATTACTAGATCTTAAAAGGAAATCCGAAGTGCCAGGTAGCTGAGTTTTATGAATATCAGAAACAGATTCAGCAGAAAGATCTTGCACAAACTCGTCGACGTTATCAGTGTTTATTGATCGCAAGCTAGCTTCCGAGGGACTCAATAATTGTGGAGATTTATCATCTTTCAAATTGTGCAAATTGATTGAATCACGCTCGATGGAGACATCTAAAAGTTCGTCTTTGCTAATTTTAGGTGAAATATTTGCTGATTGTTCAACACAGAAGCTTTGGTGAGAAATTGATGAAATGCTATCACGTCTTACATCATTATCATGTGAATATGATTTATTTTGAACAAATTCTATCGCGTCACCTGGCACGGACAAAGAAATGTCTTTGCTTACTTCAGATTCTGGAATTATTTCCTTTTCATTGCGTGACGCTGTAGCTGAAACAGGAGATACCGTTGTCAACGTTTCTTCTTGCTGTGCTTCGTTTGTTATGTTTTCTTCTTTGCTGATAATGTCATCCAAAGAAGTTTGACTTATAACATAAGATGTGGGGATGTTCTGACTAGCTTCTTCAGTGTTGTCATTCTCTTTGTCAATGCAGGATGCTGCAGTGTTTGACGACTCAACTCCGGACAGCATCATCGGTGATTCTTCATTTCTATTATCTGAAGCAATAGCATTGGATTCGTCCAACACATCATTAAGTAAATGTGCATGCATGTCAGATTTGTTTGGAGATGGTAATTCTTCGTCATGTTTTACTGAAGACTGACTTAGAAATTCTTTTTCATTAACAAAAATAACCTGTGTCTCATTTTGTTTCACTATAGTGCTCTGGGACTGATCACAATCATTGGTATCTTCTAATCCTTTTACATTCGAGTCTTCTTCCTCTTTAAAAGTTTGGTTTTCAACTCCTGTCAATGACAAATGTGAGTTTTCTCGAAGACTTTGCTCAACCCTGCTCTGGGACTGATAACATTCATTGTTATCTTCTATTTCTGTTACCTTCGAAGCTTCTTTTTCTTTAAAAGTTTGGTTCGTAACTCCTGGCAATGACGAATGGGAGCTTTCATGAGGACTTTGCTCAACCCTTAGTATATTCGGTGTTTTATTGTCACTTTCTTCGCAACTTTTAAAATCACTGTACACTTCCATCGGCTGTGTCCTGCCATCTTGAACGCTTGGTAATAGGTGCACAGATTCACTTTTATTTTCCACAGATAAACATACACTTTCAGAGTCTATTTCATTAGCTTGTGTTGTTTCACATTGGCGATTTGCTTCAAAGTTTGAGGTAACATTATAAAGATTTTCCGAATGTTCCGATTGTTCCAGCTGATTATCCATATTGCCGAGGCATAGTTCTGTTTTGTTTTCTCCTTCTGGTGACGTTCGCTCTCCTCTCTTTTTGTGTGGGGGAACGAACATTGAAAATACGAATAAAAAATGCCACATTTTTAAAACATTGTCGCATTTAAAACAAAACTAAAATAATTGGGGGTTTTCAATGAATTATTAATTTGAAAAATCTAACAAATCATATATACCTGCAATGCCGGCGAAACTATAAATATTGAAGCATCCTTCAAGATTGAATCTCTTTCTGCAGAATCTTCTTTAATTGCAGGAGTGCCGTATTCTGATATTTTTGAAATTGGGCTTCCTTTTCTTGCAGATTGGGGAGTACTTGAATATAAACATAACATTACATAATTTTTATTACATAATCGCAACCAAAATGATTGAAGAATGATAATTATGAGTGATTACTAAATTTTGATTTTATAGTGCTTGTAGTGCATGGCACTTCATTTCAAATTCTTTTTTTACAGAAAAAAATTGAAAAGTCAAACATAAATACAATGACGCCAAGTCAGTATGCAAAAAATATTATTTATAAAAGCAATGGTATTTTTCACAATGTGTGGGTATAGAATACAGCCGCTTAAAATTTCGAAGCCTCTGTTCTGTAATTGATTCAACACTACTCTAGCTCAATTCAAAAAGTCACATTTACTTAGAATTGACTAACATTACCATTACCTGTAATCTGAATTGATGTGACGTCTTGGTGGTCGAAGAGTGTCACTTTTTAGCATGGAACTTGGGGTCACCGAATTCCCATTAAAGTTTTTATGTTCTATTCTGACACTTCGGGGAGATTTTGACGTGGAAGAATTAGTAGTATGTGACGCATTGGCGTGTCGTTGCTCTGTGTTTCGAGCTTTATCAGCGGCACTTTCTTCTCGAGCCTCTCGTTCTTTTTCCAATCTTTCATGCCATTCTTCACGTTCTTTTTTAAGCTAGTAAGTGAGATATTCCGATTAGTTTAAAACGCTAACTTAATTGTAACCCAATGCATTTTAGTTTATCTGAAATAAAACTTTGTCTTGTTCCGAGTAAAATATTGTTATGTAATATATATGTTAAAACGACATGGGTGAAAGTATTAAATGATTAATTCATATTTCATCTCACGGCATCTTCCCGCTTCTTTTTATCTTCCATTGCTCTCCTTATTGCAGAATCCGAATCGCGTATTTTGCTGTTCATTTCTTCTATTTGTTTTTCAAGATTGGTTACACGTTCATCAATGATCTACGCATAAGTATTGTTTACTTTTAAAATCATTTCATTTGAAATATACGGTTATTTTTATGAACCTTTTCAGTACCTGTTGTCATTGTGATCATTTGCAGAGTATGATTATGTATTTTAGATTTTAGTATACTGGATACTTTTATCATACATATTGATAATGTATGCTCATTGTTACATTTATTTACAAGTATTCGTACGTAAGAATGTTGCGTTTATAGCGGCAATGAATGAATGATTCTCAAAAAGATGTCATATTTTGTAACATAGACTTTGTTCATGGGCATTCAAAGGAGCAAGTGAACAAGATTTTGGATAAACCTACTTTTCCATTTTCTTCTTTCATGTGTTCCGCACTGTCTTGCAGTTGTTCTTCTAATTTTGTTTTCAATGCTTCCATCTGTTTTTCAAGCGCGGACTAAAATGAGATTTGCGTTACATTGATGATTGAATGTATTTAATTTAACTTTGCACAGTTAGTTGTTGGTATGAGTATATTCATAGTAAGTAAGTATTTGTGGGATCTCGTGCGATTGATTAGAAAATATTGAGACGTAAGTAAGATGGCCGGCCAGTTAGTGAACTTCTGCAACTGCCGGGTGATTCAAGTTTGTAACAAAACGTTGATGTAGATACACATCGTTTTAATAATAAAACATATTTATTATACATTGCGAAACTGATGATTCAAGATTAATTTATCACTCAAGCTAGCTACTCTCGTCTAGTTGACTGTAGGATGGCAGCCTATCTTGAATGAGGTTGGTGGTGAAAATAACAAACGCCTACATATGTGATTGCAACTTAGATCATTATAAAAGAATCTGATGTAATGTATATAGGTAATTTGGATAGTTCTTCAGTAGGGTATGGCAATACCTACATTAACTAAAAATTGTGAAATAAATCGCACCTTGAATTCCATTTCACGTTGTGCTTGTTCCTCTAGTTCAGCTTGTTGTTGTTCAAGCAAATACTGTTGGTGGTGATCTTGGGCGTCTTGATATGAAACGCTGGGTTCGTAAAAAACTGAATCCCCCGATATTCCAACGCTGGACGGTTCCTGTAATTAAAATAATATAACCAGAGGATGTATTTGTAATTTTTATTTTATATAACTAAGCCAGTATCATTAATTTTTCCATATGGTGCACGCCAGCAATTTTTGTTTAAGATAGAGTTGCATTTGATAGAAAGCATGTCCAAATAGAAATACTTTTGGCTTTTGTCGAATGTTATTCCTATCTGTGTGAGTAACTTCTCATCACTAAAACTAATACGGAAATAGAACAAGTACAAATATATGCCACCTACGCAACGAAATTCGCATAATTTATGACTTACTTAACTTATTTATTTACTTCATTCAATAAATAAAGAAATATGATTTGTCTAAAATCAATAGAAAATCAAGTAATAGTAATAATAAAGACATTTTTACAAATATCTGTTTTCGCTAGTTCATTGCAATGTTTATTGAAACACAGGTTTCTCCACAATTATTACGGGTCATTTACCTGTACGTGTGAATCTGCCATATATCTCGACGGTGCCACAGCAGCAGCCGTTCCGTTGTTAGGATCCCCGATGATAAAGAGAGGTGAGCGAGGCATTTCTTCGGAGCCATACTTCGAACTTGCAGTATCAGACAAAACTTGCTATAATTTCCAAACATATATTTAGCCAATTTGTTATTTTTGACATATTTTTTAAGCAATTCTTCTTGTGATATATAATTACCAGATTTTGATTTTGGCAAGCACGATAAATGATAAACAAGATTTAAAATTTGTCTTGATATCATCAAAGTATAGAATAATATCTCATATATCAGGTGCCTCGAAAAATAAAATAAAAAAAGGTCACTTGGACCATATTCTATGGATTCCGTTTGTTCGGGGTCACCTTTTATTATATGAAATGTAATATGTAATTAGTCTTACCCTAGTATTAATATTTTGGCGTTCCGCTTCGCTGCGCAATAATTTTTCATCAGTTTCGCTCAATTTCTCATTGAGTTCAGAAATCTGTTGTTCTATATTCCCGATCTTTTCATTTATTTCGGATTCAAGTTCAGGCGAATCTGTTTGTCGTTGAAGTTCAGCTCCTAACTTATGGCGGAGCAAAGAAAGTTCGGCTTCCATCTATAAATGCAAATTTAGTCATTAGTAAAACGAAGATAGAGACAAGGAGAGCTGTTTTTTTTTTAGGTTAGCTTAGTTGACATCGACAGGACTCACAAAAACATCACAAAATATATCACTTTTTGTGTTTTGATTTTGCTGTCATTATTTAAACAGCTAAACTGGATGAAAATTTATTAAATACCCGAGCAACATATACCAAAATAAAATATGTTAATAATTTAATTAAAACAACGCTATTTAACTGTTGAAAGTGACTGAAAAAATTTGAGAAAATACGATATCTTTGGCAATGCACCTGCAACATCTCATTACGACATCATTTACTCATTACGAGACAACATGGACAAATAATTAAACGTGTTGAGATTTTTCGCGCAAAATGGGTTTTTAAGGTTGATATTTGGAATACTATTCAAAACTACTCATTCGTCTAACATAAAAATTACGACATGAAAATCAATTTAAAAAAACATCACTGTTTCAAAATTATTGAAGCCAATGATTAAATAATACCTCTTTTTGTTCTTCTTGTAATTGTATTATTGTATCTTCATTTTTCTTACGTTCATCAGCAAGTTTCATCTGCTCTTCGTAGTACATCTGTCAAAATATAATCGAATTTTTCAAAATTGTTATGTAATTATATGAAGAGTACTTACCCCAGTATAGTTATCCCTCAATCTGCTGTATGAATTTTACAACAAATCGAATTTTCAAAAAAATGACCAAATACCATTGTATGAACAGAGAATATTTCTTTACATTGACATTTACAGGTATTTATTTTTTCATCAACTGTAATAATAACAGCATCTTTTAAAAATTACATGAAATATAACTATCAATTCACCAGCAAATTTTATAAATGACCTAAATTTGACTGTAATATAAAAAAGAAAGTGATTAGTAATCTATCTTTACATGTATGTGTAGGTAAGCATAGTATATCTCAAAGTTGGTAGTTTATATATTAGAAGACTATACCACTACCATGTCATAACAAAGCAAAATGAGCAAACTACAAGTTACCACCAAATGAAATAAAGTAACCAGATAATTGGACCCTCAAGTTTCTAGATTGACATTCATTGACTATAATAGTCCTTTAAAATGGAAAATGCTATTGTTTCACTAGATCTATAATAATGTCCACATGGCACCAATTTGAAAAGCCGTTTTTCAAATGGTCTTTGACGTAAATTGCTATTGTGCTACCACACTCGAGTGTCGTTACGAAAGACCTTGGCATTTTGTGCCTCTTTTCTGACTACTTCATCAAAATCTTCAGCCATCGGTTCATGTTGACTAACACGAGAAATGACAATTGTCGTATTTTCATGTTGTTCGGTGTATGATTCAAAACTATTGATGCTTGTACTTCGAGAAAGTGGATTAGCGGATAACTCTCTCTTCTCGACATCGAACATAGGTATTGATTCAGTAATCAACAAAAATGGTTCATCAGCATTTAGAGAAATTTTCGACTCACGAATGTCTTTGTTATTAATGTCTTTGTTTTGTTCAAATAAATTTTGCCTTTCCGTTTGTAATATGTCTTCAAAGACTGGGTTAATATGACTACCGTTAGAAATACGTGATTCGTTCGATTCTGGTCGAGCTATATTTGTTGGCGAGGATTTATTCATCAATGGTGAATAATCTTTGTTCAAGTTATCGCCATCTTGCGATTGATCATTTGGAGTTTTTACACAAATGTTGTCATCTGGCGTGATATTTTTTTCATCCTCTTCCCGGTTTCCCGCTTCCTGCTTTTCAATAGTTACGCTATCCGCATTTTCACTTTGACCTTCTTTTGATTCTGTGCTTTTAACTATTTTGTCTTTCTCTTTGTATAAATGTAATTTTGTGCCAACCCTTTGCAAAGCTTTTGTTAATTTCCAAATAGCACTGCGAGATTTTTCGGGTTGTAGAACAGGTGGTGTAATTTTCGGAGAAGTTCTCATATTGTGTTCAATTGGTTCTGTATCTTTTAAATTGGTCATAGAAATAATTGCTTCGACTTTTTCGTTGTCAGTGTTTCCAGTAATAGGAATAGTAATTGTAGGATTGTTCTGTAAAAAAATATATATTCAGATATGCTAATTTTGTCAGTTAGATGTCATCTCGAACGTTTTGTTTACGTTTTACGTTTTGTTCCAATTGGTGACTTCAAACATTATATGCTTGACGCATATTTCGAAACACAAACGATTATTTTCACAAAGTTTTACTTAACAGATTCATCCGAGTCCGGCAAAGGTATGAAATCGACAATTGTCTTGCTGAACCCTGATAGAAATATATTTCAGTAACGTTTAACTGACTAAAGTTAGACTTACTGAGACAAACAAAAACATACTATTCCAATAAAAGTTTTTACAGGAATATACAAATAATGACTATGATTATACCATGTCGATTACGGATGCTTAAATCAATATATTCAGGAGATTTTTAAATACGTTTGTCTGAAAAAAATTGAATTTGATCACACAAAATGTTACCTAAACACGTTTGTGTTATTGTGCGGCATTATTTTGTATTACTCATAATAGTGATCTTCACTCTTGCATTATAAGCTGTGCATTATACGCGTATATGAATCGTTATCGAAGAAGTATGGATAGTTAGCCCCACTTAAACTTGACTGTAATTTCAATTATTGAGATCGCTCATATCAAATGATGCAAACAAAGCGATTTTTTGAGCTTGTTGAAGCTAAAATGAACTCACTTCAGTACTTTCCACCTTCCTTTCAACGCCATCGTCTTGGGACTCGTAATCTTTGCTAATTACGCTTGGCGATGACATTCTCTGCTCAGCGAAAGAGACCTTCTTTGCATCGAATTGTTTTTCCTGTTCTTGGAACGTAAAGCTTTCTGATTGTGGCAGACCCGATAGTGACTGTATATTGTCTTGCGTCTGCAAATCATCAGGCGGTGGATCAGGCATGCTGTTATGTCGTAAACCCTCAAATGTAATAGGAGGAAGCCGGCGTTGCCGTTTTTGATCTCCCACCTCACCTCTTTCGGTTCTTCTACTTTTTAGAGAAGATCTTCTTGAAGATTCTGGGGATGTTTGTTGGGTCGGTGACCGAGTCGGCGACTTACGCTCATAATTATTAGTTTCTTCATGGTTTATTTCAGGAAATGCATATTTTCCTTTTGGGCTTGAGTGATTACGACGGTCTGAGCAAGACGAAGTCAAAGGCTTGTCGGTAGGTGATATGTTTTCTTCCGTGTCATTGCGACTCGGCTGACGAGAAACCTGTTGCTGCTGCGTTGAAGGTCGTCGTTGGATAGCCGAAGAAGAAACAACGTTGGAAGCCCAGCGATCTCTACTTCCGGGATATGGAGCTGTTCGCGAGGAGTTGAGTCGACTAACACTAGAATCTTCAAATACACTGTCGTTTTCGTCGTCTATACCACGTGATCGACGTGAGCCTGATCGCGTCAACGTTATTCTATTCATATTATTATTCCCTGGTGTTGACCCAGAATGTGAAGCGGTTCCACCACGTCTTGGAGTGCGCTAAATTCAGGGGAATAAGTTTTTTTTAATATATATTTGCAATTCTCATATCCATATTAACGTATTTATCCACCACCGCTACCACCACAAGTATTCTATTTACCAAAGAAGTTTCAGTAGCACTGGCTACAGGACTGTCAGCTCCAATAAATTCTGCATGAACAACATGTTTTGGTGACTTTGCTGGTGGACCCTCAACCATTCCGTCTTCGACAGATTTGCTGATATTGTAGGATGACATACCACTCGGAGTATCTAAGTCCTTTGCATTATTATGTACAATAGATATATATATTAGTAAAAAACATAACTGATTAACAATCCAGTTGACTTTAATAAATTTACAGTACATTTATGTTGTCTAAAATTCACCTTCAAACCGTAATCCGGTTTATCATATTCATAATTCTTCATTTCCCAAGGTGCCGGTTGTCTGTAAGCTTGTTTAGTTCGGTGATATTGTCTTGCTGGGTCCTGTGCAACAAATGTCTGTAAAATGATTTTAAGGTGAAATATTCTTTAATCTGTATTATATGATTAGTCCTTCATATTAAACCACTAACCTTATCATGCATAGGCATATTTTGATGCGGATGATTTTGAAGCGTAGGGTATTGTGGCGGGGGTTGTTGGGGCATCGGATAATCCGGAACATATCCGTAATTTGAGTATTCACCAGGAACTTCGTGGTAGGGTTCTCTTCTGTCCCAATATGCATCTGGATTTCTATACAATCCATGTGCGTGAGGTTGCTGAAAATAAATGTAGCCTACATGAAACATCATGAAGTTATGCGCACAAATATTTCTTACAAAATAATGAAATACCATCTAAATGAAACTAAGCTTCTTAAATTGCAAAATTCATAAAATGTATCTTGAACGGAATCAGTCAATATTAATTATGTATTTCATGAAATGCGCGTATTTCAATAGTGATAAAATGAGTCGATAGAAAATGAAATCTGTTGAAAATCGGGAGCGGATCGCAAACCCAGCTATATGTATAGCGAGTGATGTGACGTATATATTTGATGTGAATGAATAAAAAGCGAATTCATCTTTAAAGATAAAAACGCAGCAGTGAGTGTTTTAGAACCTGGCCACGAGATAGGGATTCTGTTTCATATGCACTTCTGCCTCTTCCGGGATAGGAGTTATAAACATTTTGTCTTGGCCATCCCCGATTAGCGCCATTTTGATACAGGCTGTTTGGGAACGCTTCGTACCCGCCATAAGCATGACGGGACCAACGATCATTAGCAGGAGGCTGGCGATGTCGGGAAGAGTTCCGATAGTAAGGTTGTTGCTGAAATTTGAGTTATGTCCAGTTATTAGTAATGAGTTAGATTCGACTGGAAATAAAATTTTAAATGCATTTGGTCACCATTTCACCATCACTACCTTTGATCTACCACCGTTCCACGAGGGAAGAGCAAGAGTGTGACACGAAGGCCAAAAGATCGATCTTAGAAAAAGAGAGTCATGCGTATGATTTGAACAAAATCGGCTTTATATTTGCCTATTGTTTCTTGTCTGTGAAATTTTCATTTTATATAATATATTATAATTTTATAAATATCATAACGGGTTTTTTGTCTTGAGTTTATTTCCTCAGCCTTTCCGGAAAGGATTTGAACAGATCGACTAGATTAGTCCCTAGTACTGATTTGTACACTGTTGAGCTTCTCGCTTGTCAAATTTTATGCTGAACGTTTTTGTTCGTTGAACGTTTTTTTTTTTTTTTCTGTGAAATTTACTTTGTACCATCTATTTGTCTGGAAGTGTTGAATTAAATTGTTAAGTCAAGTTTTGAGTATGGTATCCGGTCGATGGCAGGTATTTTTCCGTACTTGGTGATCAATTTAGGTCCGGAGTCCTTATTTCGATCAAGCTTATATTTAATAAATAAATGAATATAGGATAGAAGTTGAAATGAGAAAAAACAGAAAGGAAATATTATTGGACTAAAAAGTATTCTGACGATGTAGAAATAGTTTGCTATGATACAAATGTTGATAACATTTGCTGAAGTTGGAAAAATATTTTTCCAAGGGAGACTCTAAACTTAGATTCAAGACTCTACGATAATCTGCCTCTCTCACATCTCGTGATACACGTCTACTAGGATGTCGTCTGTGTTCGTCAGTCTCGGGATAATTTGGTTCATCACTATATTTATTGCGTTTCTGATAATCGTCAGCCTTTTTCCATCGATCGTAAAAGAAATTATGAAGATCCTTGATAGTAAGGGATTATTTGTACATTAGCAATTAGTTGATACCACTGCAGATTCAAAAATCAATCGACGGTATCTCAACTACCTCTTGCATCTTTTGTCTCGATTCAGCTCTTGAACGAGCTCTTGATTCCGCGTCGTTTGAATAAATTTCTTCATCGATTGTAGATGTCTTTCAAATTTTAAACAAGTTGAGGAAATCGAATTAAATTTCTATATTTCAAATAAGGCATACGTTTCGATGAATTATCTAATTACCCTCGAAATTTTCTCAAATTAGCATCGAACATTACAGTAACGCAAAATATTATGTATCATACAATATACATTATGAATACTTACGTCATAGCCAGGTGTTCTTCTACGTGCTCTCGACATTTTTTGCCATTTCCAGTGAAGGGAAGTCAAGTGCTAAAATATACATATCAACATAAAATATATAAACTACGTAGAAGTAAAACATAGAAAATGATTATATAAAATCTTTTCTGTTATGAAAAATTTGCATTCACCAATGAAATACATTAATAAAAGCTGTTGCATCTTGCAATGACAGCACAAGTTTCGGGGCACAAGATTGCGACTTGTAAAATGTTTGCAGGATATTTCATCAAAATGATATATGAATGCCTTAAAGTAAATCTATTGTTACGCTTTGAGTACATTGTAAAAAATCGTATATACTTCAAATAATATAATATCGATGTCAATCTCACCCTTTCATTTCTTTCCATGACAACAAATCTAAATTTCCTCTGACTTTTCTCCAGCGATATTTAGAATCAGAATGTGAGTACATTCCACCAAACTGTTGAACGAATATCGGTTGTTAAAGATTTAGATATAAATTGGCCAATATTGAATTGTTTGAAGCAAATGTATGGGCTGTTAGTTGAAAACTTGTTCAAAATATTTTAGTGTTTGAGAGTTGAATTTAAAATTTGAATTTATACGAATTTAAAATAAAACACAATTCGTTAATACCAGAAAACTTCAAACATCAATATCACATATGGGCTCTGTTGAGAAAAAAAAAATTATAAAATATTATAATTCTAACATTTAATTTTCTTAAAATACGAATTAGATATAAACGTGATGCCATAGCAAAGTTTTTTCATATTTTTATGTTACTCACCGATGAGTCTCCATTTTCCGGAGTCTGTCCTGGACTCTGAACAAAGAGACAACAGCATAAAAATTATTTTTATTCATGAAACTCCCATAGGTACACCACAATTCGTGTCATTAATTTGGAGTTGGTGTATCTGAATATGTGTTTTAGTTTTAGGCCAACGATGAATTCCTCGACTTACCATTGCGAATCTTGGAGAATAATCGTAATTTCTTTCCCGTGGATCTTCGTACAGACCACCGTGATAATTCGAATATTTCGGGTATTTCTAAATAGAAAAATGAATTCTGATTTTAGATTTAGAAAAAGGTCGTGCAAAAACTCGATTCGTCGCCGATATTTTACTTTAAATCTCATTTTTATTATAGACAAACTTGAAAGTTTCATAAAAGTTTAGTTTCAAGAAATGATAACAAATACCCAGAACAAAACATTCGCATCAAAAGCTATTGTGATTTCTTTATAAAACAACTCACATTAGTAGCTACTGTACTTTCTGGGTCGCGTCGGTTTTCATTTGGTTCAAATGCTACTCCAGGAAGACGGGAATCTCGGTGTTCTGGATGTCTTGACCGCAGATGAGGTGGAGAAGATGATTCATAAATATTTCTACGCCGGCCATTTTGCCCTCCGTGAATATCCGGAATGTACTCGCCAGAATTACCGTTTGGCATGTTTTTACTAGCTACTCGAAAACTTCAGAAATCTCTTCATCATCTACAAGACACTTTTAATCTTTTCAGTTTATAATTGTATTTATGATTATTGATTATAACCTCCCGCGCATCTGGAATTTTTGAACAAAGTAATATTATATCATGAAATTTTCTGAATCCTATATCAAGCTTGTTCCAAATTGCAATACCAGCGTCATTATTTAATTCAACTTGGATATACGAACCCCAAACACGTATTCAGAATTTATTTTATCACAAGTCAGAATTAAAACAAAATGACAAATTATCCCAATCGATCAAACAATATTAATTATTGTTGAAATCATAGTATGCACCCATTTAATACAACCCTATTCTGATTGAAATAAAACATCATCTCATCTACTGCTAATTTCTAAATAAAGACATTTAAATCTTGTTCTGCTATATAGTATCCGTATAGATTTTAGTCCTTCACACCAAGTGACGTTCTGGTATTTACGTACCACGAAAACATGTTTACAACATTAATACAAAATTTATTGGATTTTTTTCTCTCGTTTTTAAAAAATATTACACTTTTTATTTAGGTAACTTTGAATTGAACCTCTAATTTTGCAACCAGCGTAAATAATATAAAATTAGAAAACAGGGAAAACAAGGCGATTTTATTGAAATAATTCTTTCGAAAGGTTTTAAATTGGCATCAAACCATCATTTTTTCATACTTGAATATGTCATCAACAAACGCGAATTATACGCGGCCCGTGACTGAACCAAGAGCCTAAATGAGTGTATTGTATGAAATTAGTTGGTCAGTTTTTCTTCCTTTTTAAAGCAGATATTTCTTATATTAGTTTATAAGAGCTTGCAGAATAAACTTTTTCATATATGAATCCGCAAAAAATTCAATCCTACACGTCAATTTGTATATTCACTAAGCATGGTACGATTGTAAACGTTTGAATTACATTCCCATTGTGTCGGATTAGAGAAGAAAAAACACTTCAAGAATTTCTTATCCACTAAAGTGTTATTCTATTACTTGAAAAGTGATTTGAAACTGGCTACCAATCCGTCTCAGCTAATTTAATTTGAAGTGAAGTATACTTGAGACAAATAAAAATCGAACCCCCACTGTCGACATAATCACAACGACCTCGAAAAGTGAAAATTTTCTCATAGACTTTGTGGGCATGGCTATGAGTCAAATTGTTGTTTTATTATTTTGAATTGAAGTATCAATCTGGAATCAACAGTCCTTAAAACGACATTGATACAGTGAATGTAATTTGGCCCTTTGTTTTCAACAACTTTTGACTTCCTGTTAGGCGCCACAAAATATGTGATTCATTTTTTATGGCTAATTTCAGCCAATGACACTAAGGAGCATGGCATTGAAGTGTTGCCACAAGTTGTTAAGAAACAATTAACATTTTAACTAACGAGATAATGACGCCATTTTGTATCCGATTATTTCGTTGAGCAAAAAAAAATTACATAGCTTTCAAAATGTCCAATTCAGTATTATAATTGCAATCAAAGATGCCAAATTGTTAAATTCTAATTAAAACATTCACTGTATTGGTATACGTAAATAGTACTATCACATTCTCTTTTTAAATTACGAAAGAATCATCGATTGCTGGACATATTCTGCTTTTGTGCATGATAGTATGCAAAGAAAAGATGAATAAAAAATTAACGATTACATAAACGCTCAAATAAAAGAATTTAATTGATATCTAATTGAACTACAGTACTTAAATTATTCTGTCTGTACTCATGACATTTTCAATGTTCTTTCAACGCTAATATTTCAATGTTATTCACTATATCCCCTGCTGCAAATACCTGATGCTTTACATCACTTAAACGCGATTAGTGAAACGGGAAGGCGATTGACTAATGCTGATAGACTTGCGAGTTGCGAATTTGCAAAAAAACGTTTTTGATCATATTGAGTTTTGATCATCCGGCCCAGTAATTCAGTCTATTATCCGCATCCAGCCCACTCATGAAAATAATTCCTCACCCCTGACTAGGGTTTACAGGATGTAAGACATTGGGTAGGTGATTCCTGAAATAAATTCTGGTTCCTTTAAAAGTAATAGATCGTTCGATATATTTAGATATCAGTGGGTGCCTGTACGCGGCCGTTTTTGTATATAAAAATAGGTAAGCGATTCGTATAAGTTCTCCGCCTTGGTGTTACTGTATGCCAAACTAAACTAGTATCGGTAGTTGCAAACCCAATAGCTCAGTGAATCTAATTTATTTTTCGAACAGGTTTTAATTAATTCCATGTCGATTCTCATTTCCGCTGGAAATTAATTTTGAAGAACGTGTTAGAAACATTGTAATCATATAATACTTGATTCGTGAAATTATTGCAAATGTTAATATTTATTTACCGCCGATATTATAATTTATATAAAAACTTTAGCAAAGATATTTTTTTAAGAATTGGTAAGTTATTCTTATATTTGAATATTTGTATTCATCGTGCTGTGTGAATGATCAAAATATAATAATATATTCGATGGCACTTGAAAATCTGATTTATCTAATACATTTAACCACATGGCTGGGTGTAGCGTTGGCAATAATCTAAATCTTCATATTGTTATTCGTAGGTTATTTTGGTCCAAATTTTTGACGTCCTATGATATTTTCAAACCACACAAAATTTATGTGACGTTGGAAACACGGTAATTTAAAAAAATATATTTAATTTTTAAAAGAAAATGCTTTTGATTGAATGCTTCATATTATTAAAAAATTATATATTTTTTTTATAACATGTGTCATACTTTGACCATATACTTGAGGTAGTTTTGACATGTGGCAATCCATTATCAAAGCGTGTTTACTACCAAAAAATATAGCATTCAATATCCCCGGAAACCCGCAAGTTGTTTTTTGAGTTGGTGAAAGTGTCCTCATTCAAGTGTTTGGCGTCAACAGTAGCGTACCCGCTGAACCAATACTCGATGAAACGCGCTACTTGTTGATAGTGAGCGCAAAAATTTTTAATACCAGAAAATCAATAAGCGACATACCATATTATGTATTTAATATGATGCTTCCAACGCCAAAAATCCAATACATAATTTTCGACTTTGCCACGAATAAATTTATAAATTGCGTTAATACCTGCAGACCTGCGTACAACTGTTGCAGTTCCTGAATCTAAACGGCGCAGTTTTTCTATTTTCCATAGCCTATGCAATAATACTATGATGATTGTGCAGTTGTGACATGGGATGGAACTTGAACTAACATGAACATGGGTCCGATCCTATTTCAAAACTTTGAGTTGGGACCTCAGGCTATAATTATTCTTTTTTTACATGCACATTACAAAATAAACGAAGCTATTTGAGATTGCCAGACTTGTCCATGGGAATCCCATGGGATGGGACAGCACACATTGGGCACAAAAACCATATGATTTTCGGGAAAATGATGGTAAAACATTTCGTTATGGATTTCGTGTCCATACATTTGAGCACAGCTCTCTTGTTAGTTATAAAGAGCAAAATATATTCAGCCTTAACAATATACTTCGTGAAGGGGCTGATGGACACATGCATAATAGTTATAAATATAAAGTTAGCAAAGTCCGTGAATTATGTTGTTTTACATGCTTATGCGTACATGTAGTCCTATTTAGTAGACGCTAAACCTAAATTTATCAATTTGTATTGATTTTATTTCAATGGGAATCCCATGGGATGGGAAGGTATAGGCATAATTGCTATGGGATGGGAATGGGACGGAAAATGTGTCCCATGGACAAGCCTGGAGATCACACTTTTTCGGCCTAATATACTATTAACTCTATAGTATTAATTAATAATAAGTAATAAATGTCAGTAAAATAATTTAAAATAAATATGCAAATAGAAACTTCATATTATCTTAAAAAGGTAAAATTTCATGAATATATCTGGTTCTGAACTAATTCTTGTATGGTTCTGAGCTGATTATTATTCTATGACAAAAAAAAT